TTGTGGATTATTGTGATGTTTTTATCATCTGTTTGGCCTCTCATTCTGACGGCACCCATTCATGCAGAGGATCCACTGGTGAGCATGTGATGTAATGCAAAATTTTTCCAAATCTGTTCTGATGAAGAAACAAACTCGTCTACATCTTGGATGGCCTGAGGATGAGTACATTTTCCTATTCCTTCAATATAATGTTATTAAACATTTATGAAAGTTTAGATTTAGAGCTTCCGAGCAGCATTTTAAAAATTCCACTTCAATCGTCGCCACAAAAAATAAAACAGATGCCTTAGAGAAATTTCTCCTTTTATCCCATCACTCCAGATCAGTGCAAATGTGGAAAACATGGAGGACAACTTTCAGTCTGTAAAAGCGAAACCCACGTGGGTATTTCTGCCTGTCTGCTTGACACTTAAATGCCAGACAGCAGTACAAACTGCGCCAACGTGTAGATTTACAAGTGAGTAAGTAACTGGCTGCCTTTGAAACAAAAGAAAGGAGAAAATAACACTCACTTTCCATCTTCAAGTCAAGTAAATGTCTCTGTATTGGACTGATCTCCAAAAATCACAAACAATTTGGTAAAATATCAGAGCAAAAAAAAAAAAAAAACTTAAACTTAAACCAGAAACTGAAAAATAACCAAGCTAGTACAAAGTTCCTTTCATTACTTCACCACTACTCTCTTAAAAGTAAAGGCTCTTTATTGGCATTGATAGTTCCAAGATGAACCTTTAATATCCATGGAACCTTTCCATTCCACAAAAGGTTCCTTATAATGTAAATTGATTCTTTAGAATTTTAAAATGTTTTTCATACTAAGAAAAAATGGTTCTTTTAAGAACTGTTCACTGGAAGGTTCTTGGAAGGCAACCAAAACTGGTTCTTCAATGGGACTGCTGTGAAAAACGTCTTTGGGAACCTTAATTTTTTTAAAGGTGTACAGATGATAATTCCAGCAAAGTTTCAACAAACTGAAATAACTGATCCGTAACAAGTTCCACAAAGTACAAAGAGTGAGTAGCATCCCCCCAAAACAGAGAGGATTTGCTTTCTGTCCCTAAGACTACAATCTGGCACTGTCAACCCAGTCCTAAAAGCTGCCAGCTCTGAAGAGTCGACTCAGGAAGAGACCTTGAAGAAGAGAGAGATTCCTGTTTTCATGAGCCAGTCAGCATGCAGCAGCCCTGCAGGTGCACAAGCTTCAGATCCAACAGAAAAGAACCTCTCACTCACACACATACTGAGAGTCATTCAGACAGCTGGGCTCTCTGAATCTGAAAATGTCTGTCCCATAACTTATATCATGTGGCTCTTCTTAGCAACACATTTGAAAGAGACAAGAAAGCAGATTCGAACCAGAACGCAACTGGTAAAAATTCAAGAAACCAACCACCTGCAGGTCATTAAGAACCAGTTTTTTCCACTGAGTCACTAAATCTACCTCTCTACAAAAACAAACTAATTCACACATAAAATGTCAGTGATCAGTGGAAGACGCATCTGTTCATCATTAATACATTTTTCATTATTCTGAACAGAAAATCTTTAAAAGATTTGTATAAAATCAGAACAAAAATCAACTCATGAACTCATACAATTTAATATAATGGCCACAACTCACCTGTGAGTAATCTTTCTCTATTAGTGCTTTCTTCTGGCTGTATGTCCTGAGGATTAAACACACACACACAGTCAAGCAGTTCAGCACTAATATACCGACAAGACAGACAGAAAATAGCCTGATAGGTATTTTAAAAGCAATGTAAAATGTGAATCAAACTGGACCTCAGATCCTCTAGGAAGTCCAAGTCTGTCTGGTGTTTGAGCTGGAGTCTGTTCAGCTGCTCTGTGTGAGTGTGTTTCACCTCTTGTGTGACTTTTACCTGCAACACACACAATGACAACCTCTGGAGAACCAACTCTGACCCAGATCACACCAGCCTGAAAGAGAAACCCCTGTCTGGCATACTGGAGTCAATGGAGACAGGGCAGATACTGGACTCAACGTAAACATAATGTAACATGTATAATGTACGTTTTATGTGAACATTTACACACATTACATAATATATATTTTACTAGTATTTTAAGATGTTGCAATTATCAAAATGAATAGATAACTAACTAACAATAAAATGATGGTTAGACAGCTAGACAACATCTATCTATCTATCTTAAGTTTGTTTTAGTCAAACAAACAAGGAGACAAGAAAGCAAGCAAACAAACAAATAGCCTATACTGACATGACAACAAAACATCACAAACAGTACGAAGAAGCAGGTCACCTCACCTTTCTTGGAGGAGGCTGCATGTCTGGATCTGGATATACAGGAAAAACTCTCAGAAATGTACCCCGCAAAACCCAAACACATCTGCGGGACGGAGATACGCAGTGCAGAATAATCTGTTTAGGTGGAAGAAAGAAAAAAAAAACACTGAAATACTTCCAGACCCCTCCGTTGAGCCGCTCACGCAAAAACTCCGCTGAGAAGTGAAGCGAGAACTTTAGTCAGGGGAGCAGAATTCGGAAGAACAGCGCCCTCCAAGTGACCAAATAATATGTTTTGAAGGCAAATATGACAATTCACAATTGTAATGTATGTTTATGTGTGTGTATGTGATACGTTTCCGTTAGAATATGAAGCTAAATATGTACAGACTAGCGTGCAGTAGCCTATTTAACGTTAAGTGTGTGAAATTAGACAAAGATAAAATCTCATTCGTAACTCTCTAGTTATTTCTATAGTCTTTGCTCTTACTCTGCTGCTCTCATTCTATATATAATTGCAGTGATGATAATAAACATTTTATCAACTGTCACTTAATTAAATTTATTATACCTTCATTATCATAAAATACTCACAAAAAGGCCCTGCATGTTGGTGAGATGAGGCCATCTAGTGGTGGGCGTATGTAAAAAATAAAGTGGGACACTCGCCAAATCAAACTGAACAAAGTTCAATATCATAAATTATAATAATTAATTTTTTTTTAAATAATAATAATAATAATTAGCAGTAGTAGAAGTAAGTAAAGGCTCTTTATTGGCATTGATAGTTCCAAGATGAACCTTTAATATCCATGGAACCTTTCCATTCCACAAAAGGTTCCTTATAATGTAAATTGATTCTTTAGAATTTTAAAATGTTTTTCATACTAAGAAAAAATGGTTCTTTTAAGAACTGTTCACTGGAAGGTTCTTGGAAGGCAACCAAAACTGGTTCTTCAATGGGACTGCTGTGAAAAACGTCTTTGGGAACCTTAATTTTTTTAAAGGTGTACAGATGATAATTCCAGCAAAGTTTCAACAAACTGAAATAACTGATCCGTAACAAGTTCCACAAAGTACAAAGAGTGAGTAGCATCCCCCCAAAACAGAGAGGATTTGCTTTCTGTCCCTAAGACTACAATCTGGCACTGTCAACCCAGTCCTAAAAGCTGCCAGCTCTGAAGAGTCGACTCAGGAAGAGACCTTGAAGAAGAGAGAGATTCCTGTTTTCATGAGCCAGTCAGCATGCAGCAGCCCTGCAGGTGCACAAGCTTCAGATCCAACAGAAAAGAACCTCTCACTCACACACATACTGAGAGTCATTCAGACAGCTGGGCTCTCTGAATCTGAAAATGTCTGTCCCATAACTTATATCATGTGGCTCTTCTTAGCAACACATTTGAAAGAGACAAGAAAGCAGATTCGAACCAGAACGCAACTGGTAAAAATTCAAGAAACCAACCACCTGCAGGTCATTAAGAACCAGTTTTTTCCACTGAGTCACTAAATCTACCTCTCTACAAAAACAAACTAATTCACACATAAAATGTCAGTGATCAGTGGAAGACGCATCTGTTCATCATTAATACATTTTTCATTATTCTGAACAGAAAATCTTTAAAAGATTTGTATAAAATCAGAACAAAAATCAACTCATGAACTCATACAATTTAATATAATGGCCACAACTCACCTGTGAGTAATCTTTCTCTATTAGTGCTTTCTTCTGGCTGTATGTCCTGAGGATTAAACACACACACACAGTCAAGCAGTTCAGCACTAATATACCGACAAGACAGACAGAAAATAGCCTGATATGTATTTTAAAAGCAATGTAAAATGTAAATGAAACTGGACCTCAGATCCTCTAGGAAGTCCAAGTCTGTCTGGTGTTAAATAATAATAAGTAGTAATAGAAGTATTGCATTTGGCTATGTATTTATGATATCAATATTAATAATTGTTGTTGTTGATCATTATTTATACTATACGTTTTATGGTCATGCATTGCAATAAAAAGATTTCTAAAAGTACATTTTAGATTTCAAACTGTTTGTGAAAAGGTTGACACGTTTAAAAACAGTGAAAACCAGTCAAATTCACATACCTGGGAAATATTTCAGATTAAGGGTAATTCCTGATTTAGAAAAGATTGCAGTGCCATGCAGTGATGACGAAGTTTCTAATTACAGGTTTCACAGCTTCTGTGATAGATTTGTTTATAGGTCATTGATGGTTTAAAAATAGATAATTGGCTTGATATGACTACTTCAATTAATCAGTGTTTGCTCAGTTTAGCCAAAGGTGTGCATTTGAACATGATGTGCTGTGCCTGTCCACAGAGTTACAAAATCATTCAGAACCTCTTTGTTAGGACATCTCCAGAAAATAAATAAGTTCATAAAAACAATACTTTTAATTCAAATTTAAAAAATGCAAACGGTGTATAATGTAAGTCTGTTTACCCAGAAAGTGTGATTTAGATGAGGGGGCTTCATTATAAATATATGGCATTCAATCAGAGCAAGGAGACAGTTAACAGGAGAAACTGTTAAGACTTAATATACAATAACACAAAATAACATGAAGTAGATATTGAGAAATACAGGAAAGGAAGAGAATATTCCATGTACAACCAGTACACACGGTGCCATAATCTGAGATTACTGGACAAGCGAAGCTTCACTTTGGCCTGTTTAAAGGATTAGAATAAGAGTCATTAAACTATTCCAGCACTACAAAACCCCCTCCGACTGCTGAGACGTCTTACAGTCACTGTCATCACTCACAAACAAAACTCAGCCGGCATATCAAACAAGCACCACACAACATTAGGAGTACAGTTGTTATTCCGGTGGCAGTTGACTGATCAGGCCCAATGGCTCTGCTCAAATCTGGCTGGCTCTGGAGACAGAGTAAGTATACGATTCTTCATTTATATGCTTATATAAAGAGTTTCCCAGTCTTCTCAAGGTACCTCAGAAAAATAGAAGTAGTTGAAGTTGCAACAGAAGATTGAGGAATAATTTGTATGTATATTAAAATAAATAGATAAAATATTATTATATATTATGTATTATTATTATCATTACAAAGACTTTTCCAGAAGGTTTGTTATGAAACTCAGGGCCTGATACTGTTTGCAGTAATCCTCTTACGGTCAGTGTTACAGTAGCCTACAGTACAGTATAGCTTTTAGTTATGGACTCCAGGTTGTTTTATGCTCACCTAGAGAGACTCCAAACAACACATTCATTTTAAAAATGAGAAATCGATGCCGATGGGATTACATTTAAAAAAACAATTTGAACATTAAATCCTCTGCACAAGATAACTCCATGCCTTGCAAATAAGGTGGTTGTTCGATTTTTGAACGTTTGGAATAGAATTCGGAATCAGTGGAGTCGACTCCAGGAGACGATTCCTAGCAAATTTTCCCCATTCTTAAAATAAACAGTGGAATATTATTATTGATAGGATAAATAACAAGTGACCAATAAATATAGGTCTATTCTTCGTTAGTGCACAGTCTAGTATGATATCTTCGGGATGTCTGAGTTTACAATGCTAACTGTGAGGGAAGGAAGGAATAAACTACGACTATTAAACTAATAAACGACTCAGTGGTATTGAACGGATATGTTGATTGAGTGATTCAGTGTTTCACCTTAATGCTGTAGCATACAGAAAGATTGTAGCTACTTTTGAATAAGTCAATGAACGAATCTGAACGTAATCATAAGATTCAGTTCACTGGAACCCGACCCCACCCCTATCGTAATAAACGCAAAAATGAATCTTTAAAAAGACTATGGAAAAGGAGACAGAAATTATTTTTATTATTATTTTATCATTTTTTATTCACAGCTTCAGTCCTCAAACGCTGGAAGCTGAATTGGTGTGACCTGTGGATAGATGGGAGCTTTGTTTTTTACCAAACTGAATCCAGAAGAGACTACGAGGCCAAAGTGAATCTGAAGGCCACCTGTGTGAATGTGAAATCTGGACTGGAGTGTCCAAGTAGGAAGGAACTTTTTTAACCTTTCAGTTGTATTTGGTCATGTAGAAAGTGCATGTGTATGGTATGAAAATACTTGAACACTGTTTTAACAGATAGTGTCTTTGTGAGCAGATGTATGTCCACCTGAGAGTCACCCCCGAGAGAATCTGCTGGTTGTTTTCCTGAGGGATGGTAACATGCTGATCCTGTGTGCCAACAGTGAAGATGAGGCACTGTAAGCCTTGACCTTTGACATTTTACTTAACATATGAAGCCTCACTCACTTTCCTCTCAAATTTATTTCCCTTCTGTCACTTTTCAGGGCCTGGAAACTCACACTCATGGAGGCAAAAATAAATCCTGTGAGTGTTTTCCTTGGCATGCAGAATGGTTTTCTCTGTTTATTAATTTGTAATTTATTTCATATTTTACTCAATTTACATTTCTTTTCACTCTCATAGGTTCTCACATACAATCCTTATGACGATACATACCAGACCATTCCAATTAACAGTCATAATGCGGTTTACATCATGCCAAGTACAGGTAGTGGAGGTTTATACAAACACATCATTCATTCTGTAGAAAGCACAAAGAAAGGGAATGCATTTTACAGCTGCTAAAGAAAGAAAATTAAAGTGATAGTTCACCTAAAATTGGACATTTCCTGAAAATGTTCTTACCCTCAGGACATACAATATGTAGATGAGTTTGTTTCTTCATCAAAACTGACGAAGAAATTTAGCATTCTACCACTTGATCACCAATGGATCCTTTGAAGTGCATGGATCCAATGACAGTCCACTCCAAACAGCTGATAAAAACATCACAATAATCCACACGACTCCAGTCACCAGAAGTGAAAAGCCACATGTTTGTAAGAAACAAATCTATCATTAAGATTAACATAACTTCAAACTGTTGCTTCAGTCTAAATGTGTCCTCTCTCCGTAAATTTGCTTTCTCCAGTGAAAAAGTTATCTTGTCTGAAATATTGACTTTCATAGTAGGAAAAAAATACTAGGGAAGTTAATGGCAACCACCAACTGTTTGATTTCCAGCCATCTTTAAAATATCTTCTTTTGTGTTCAACATAAGAAAGCAACTCATACAGGTTTGGCACGACATGAGGGTTAGTAAATGATGACAGAATTTTAATTTTTGGGTGAACTATCCATTTAATTGATGGACAGGCGTCATGTGGATTACCTGTGGATTAATGTGATGTTCTTATCAGTTTGGACTCATTCTGGCGGCACCCATTCACTGCAGAGGATCCATTGGTAAGCAAGTAACGCAATGCTAAATTTCTCCAAATCTGTTCAGATGAAGAAACAAACTCATTTACATCTTGGATGTCCTGAGGGTGAGTAAACTGTCAGCAAATTTTCAGTTTTGGGTGAACTATTGTTTTAAGAAATTGTGTTGAAATGTAAATATTTCATTTTAAATGTAACAATTTATTGCCACTTTGAAATTCGATTGTAACTGCTTGATTTTCAGTGGTCTTATTGGTTCCCTCTGTGGAATCTTTTCATAAACAAAGAAACATTTAACCAGGGATGTACCTCTAATCCTGATGTGCTTCCCTGCAGGGACTCAGCATGTCTGGGTACACAGAGACTCTTATGATGATAGTTTCAGAGAGCAGATTGCGTTGGGCCTCCTGGCTGGAATGGCTGCAGGTGCAGCGATGCGTTCACTTCTATGGATGCCCTTCTGGTTCTGCTGAGGACCGGTCAGATAGCAGGATGATCACTGGAAAGAGTGAGAGAACAGACTGGAAGAGCCATCCAAAAACCTCAGCCATAGCAAATGATCTTGTTCCTGCATATAAATATGTAAATATGAGAAGAGCTGCAGCTGATTTAAACTCATGAAGTGGTCAATCAGTGTGCAAAGGAGGGATTCTTTTTTCATTGTTTACAGTCTAAAGAAAACAGTCCACTTTTAGCTGCCCAAATTTATCAGGACAGGATTTAGCAACAGATTTTTCTGTAGAATATCAATATACAGTATATATAAAACTGCATAATTCTGCACACAGCTAAATAATGATTGCTTTTTCTTGCTGCTATGATTCTGCTCTTTGTATAATGTACATGTAAAGCTTTGCAAACGTTCAGGATTTTGTCGATTATGATGTTATTTTTCTCAGACATAAGTTCTCCTATCATGATTTCTAAATAGCTCACTAAACACTAAAGCCCTGAATTTATTATTTTCCATTGCATGAGGTTTGGGAGTGATCATCAGACCACTGAATGCTCTTCAAATATGAGGATCTTGAAAAATCTTCTTCCAAGAGAATATGATGCTAAAGTAACAAACGAAAGCTGAATATATTGATCGAGCCTTAGAAATACATCAATAATGAAGGCAGGATTATGAAATCAGTTCTCATGACTGACCAGTAGAGGCAGGCAGAGCAGCATTTGAATTTGGCCTGTTTATGCACGACTATGCTACCTTGCCAGTAGTTATTATAAACTTTATATTGTTGTACAACACTTAGGTTAAAATAAAATGCTGATATTACATATAATCATATAAGATGGCATTTCATTTTTTTCGTGTTTACAATCAAAACTACTAATGTCCTGATTAACAAAGTTATACATTATCCATAAAAATAAAAAAACACTGTTGCTAAATACAAGATTTTATTAGGGACATCTCAAGATGCTGATCAATTTTAGCAGTGCAAATAATGAGCATTGGTTTCAAGCAGTGTCGCCAGATGAAACTGGTTAAAATCCATTTGAAATGTATGAGACCTTTTCAAGAAAACAACCAAACAAAATACACAAAATGCACTACATCTTAAAAACGTTTAGATCAGTCTGGGGACAAACTCATCACTGTACATTTAACAAAAAACAAACGTGGCAGGTGCTTTGGGCCAGAATGTCTAAACGTCTCAGTCTACAACTTATGAAAAATCAAACCGTGTTTAAAAACAAAACAAAGACATTACAAATAAATATTAGGGTTCATGGTTGATTCAACAAATCAAAACAAACCATAACTAGTGTGTCATTAATACAATAAAATCAAACTTTACAATGCTAATAAAAAACAAACAAACAGTGGAAGCCCAATAAAACAAACCATCAAAGGCAACTTCTGCATATTATCTGTTAAACTGGATCTGATACTTCCCTTAATATACATAATAGTTCTTTACAATAACTGCATTTCTCTTTCTTTGACTAAGCTATTGGCTTTCTAATGCTCAAAATAAGAAATTGCATCTGAGAAAAAAAAAAGAAAAAAAAAGACGCAATGCTCGAGTCAACGGAGCTAAAAGCAGCACTTGTTCCTCCCAAATTCCAAAAACATTTGTTTTTACACTTTCCTTTCTTCCTTATGAAGAAGAGACATTAGCAACGTCACAGATGTAACGTCTCATAGCCACATATGATGAAATCTAGACTTGAATATTTCCAAAAACACTCGCAAACATTTCGTCCATCTCTGCACCGTGAATCTGGAACGATGTTTAATGAGTTCTCGCGTATTCAAATCTGGATATCCTTCTCACATCAGTTCTGTAATTTCATTTATTTATATTGTTTTGTTCCTATTCACGTCATTATTACAGTAATAAGTATTATTTCACATAAAACGGAACATGGACAAAAACAACACTTTATAAAGTGTTTTGAGAGTGAAAAACAAAAACACCAAAAAAGGTGTACGATTAACGGAAACAATAGAAAAGCAACAGCACACACATCTACATTGTGCTTTCAAATTTAAAGTCATCGGAGTGGGTCAGCGGGAACAAGGGTGACGGGCAAGTAGTGTTCTACTCCCTCCAGGTGGGCGGAGCTTCTGCGGAATATCCAGAGAGATGCTGTGAGTGCGACTAAGAGTGACAATAAGAGACACGGCACAGAAATGTCGACTGAATCCTCAGCATGAACAGCCGCCTCCGCTGACCGGCTGCTCTGGTGGCTTTTCCAATTTTATGTCGATCACTGAAGGAAAAAAGAATTAAGGAAAAATACAATGTTTTGTAGTCTGTTTACACTGCAACACATACAGATGGACAATCAAATACTAAAACAAGCAATTGCAAGTGTGAAAATCCCAATTATATATGTAAATGTATGCATATATTTGTATTTGTGTAGGATACTGTCCTCTCTGCTCTTGTCTTGTGTGCTCTCCATACCAGGAAGAGCTGCTGCTACACGCCGGAAAAGCTAGACGAGACAAACACAAGCCCTGTTATTAAACTCTCGCACCAGGATCAGAAAAAAACAAGCAGTGTGTGGGTGTATTTGAGATGGTTTGCATTCAGAAAAGTTGATTGATTGATTGATTGATTGATATGAGAGAAATGTACAGCAATGCTGTTTTTGAATAACAACCGTTTTAATAAATCATTTAATGCGGAGTTTGTCAAAGCACATATTTCTACTGTTGATTCAAGTGAAATCTCAAGTCTCACTCACCTGTTTGACATTGTATCCGGCTTTAGCGCTAGTCTCAATAAACATTACATTCAGTTCTTTGGCTTTCCTCTCCCCTTCCTCAATAGAAACTTGCCTGAAATTATCCCCAAAAAACATGTAATTAATATTTCCCTACTGCTGATATTTTGCTATTTTGAGCAGATTAAGAGAGTATTAGTATTACTTTGGGTCATTTAAAAAAAGAAAAGAAAAAAGGTGTTTTTGTCATTAGATACATTTCTATTACTTTAGTACATTTTATGTAATATTGCATAAAATACAATTTAATTGCAGCAATTTTGTGCATACTATCTTAACCAAAGGTTTGGGGTCTGTAATATTTTGTGTTTTTGAAAGAAGTCTCTTATTCTCAACAATGCTACATTTATTTGATCAAAAATAGAGTAAAAACAGTAATATTGTGAAATATTATTACAATTTAAATCACACATTGATATATTTCAAAATGTAATTAATTCCTGCGACAGCAAAGCTGAATTTTCAGCATAATTTCTCCAGTCTTCAGTGTCACATGATCCTTCAGAAATCATTCTAATATGCTGCTCAAGAAACATTTATTATTATCAATGTTGAAAACAACATTTTTGCAGAAACCATGATGCATTTTTTTTTTAATTCTCTGATGAATAAATTCAAAGGAATGTAATTAATTTGAAATAGAAATCTTTTCTAACATTATAAATGTCTTTACTAAAACTTCTGATCAATTTAATGCACCCTTGCTGAATTAAAGTATTAATTTGAAAAAAACAATATATACACTGGTTGAACACCATTTAATAGCAGTGTAACAAACCATGGCATATTGTTTGTAAATGCAACCATTTAAACATACCTTTTATCTGCAAGGTCTGTTTTGTTTCCCACCAGCATGATAATGACATCACTTCCCCTTTCCGTTCTGACATCATCGATCCATTTGGTGGTCTGCTGGAAGGAGTTGACATCTGTCGGGGGTATTTCAGAAACACTGGGTTAATAATCAAGATGAGCCTCAGGGGGTCTATCAGGGGGAATCCCAGGATCATAACCAGGGAGACAACTCAGACAGAAAAAAAAAAACACACGGATAGAATAAGAGGAAAGAAAGGAGGAAGTTCTAAAGCTGGAAGTGTCTCTGTGCTCATGAATCTGTCACAGGAACTTGGTCTGCAGAAAGAGTTAATCTGAAAAGAAATAGAGAAATCATCTCTCATCTACATCAACTAGAATTCATTAGTCTGTAAAATGGTAAATGAACGCATATTCTTTAGTATAAATAAAATATTTTTTAGATGAACAAAAACTTAAGAAAACCACATTTAACAAAACATTTTTAGCAAATATAAAAATGCATTGCTAAAAATAATGGTTTAAAAAAAAATGGATAGACTAGTGAAAATGTTAGTAGGAACTTATTTTTGAGTGCTGAAGGTGCTGAATTAACTTCTCACCACAGCTGCCAAAAATTTATGACTACAACGGACCATCTATTATTTTTAGAAAAATATATAATTTCTGTCTTTATGAAAATGGTATTACATAGCTGCTTTTTGTTTTATTAGCAGCTACAAGTGACACACAGTTCTGTTAACCTTTAAATGTAAACATATACAAAAAGATGTGTTCTCAGTTTTTAACACTGAATTGCAATTGCAAAACAAAAAACAAGTCATAAAAAGACGACAAAGAGAATGAAATCACATAAAAACAAATGATGTGTAAGAGAAAAAGAGAGAGTGCGTTGAGATGACACAGCTTTCCTCTTCCTTAAGTTCTCCGGCCAAGGATCCACACTCACTTGTGATGTCATAGACTACCACGGCAACCGTAGAGTCCCGGATATAGCTGGGAATCAGACTGCGGAAGCGCTCCTGTCCTGCTGTGTCCCAAAGCTGCAGCCGCACCTGGCCAAATATTTTAGCACCAGAGATCCAGCAGAGAGAGAGAGAGAGCGAGAGAGAGAGTGGGGGAGAAAGGGGAAGAGGTAAGAAGAGGGGAACTGGACGCAGAACCGGTCTCAGATACCTACTTGTGATGTCGTAAACTACAACAGCAGCAGCAGAGTCTCTGATGTAACTGGGAATGAGGCTACGGAAACGCTCCTGTCCCGCTGTGTCCCAAAGCTGCAGCCTGATCTGTGTGAATGGAAAACAATCAAAAGAAAAAGGAGGAGAATAAAGGAAAAAAAGGGGGAAAATGAAACATTCAAAGGGAAAATAATAGGAGTGGAATGAAATGTAAGGAATAAGAAAAAGCAAAGTGTACTGAAAAGACTTCTCAAGTTGGGCTAGGGAACGGATTAAGGTTAAGGGTTAAGTTGTGAGTCTTTGGATGGGCTCATGTTAGTATGGGTTATGTTATCAAGATTGCAGATCTTCAGAGTAAAACCTTCCCACTCAAAAAGAACAATTCTTTACAGGAGGAAACATATACATGTAAACAAATAAGAGACACACCAGGGGAAAGAGGCACAGGAGTTTCTCACGGTGCAGTTTATGTTGGGTTTTTACAAACGCATCACAATATAAATGTTCAAATTCATGTTCAACAAAGAAAATAAAAATACAAGGGCTTCCCAAGGCGAAAAATGGGATGTAGAATTAATTTCATGCATAATGCAATTATAATATGTCATAAGAAGAACCAAACATTAATGCGTCAAATCAATTTAAAATTATTTTCTATAATAATAGGAATAGTTAACTACAAGTACAGTAGACTAGATTTAAAGTAGAATGCATTACAATCATTGTTTATTTATTTATTTACTCATTTAATCATTTATTCAACACCATATCAGCAGCAAAGTTCATGGTAAACTCAGTTTTATAAATTAAAATTATCATAATAATAATATAAATTAAAGAAAATTAACACAATGTAACAGCATTGTTTTTACAACAGTATAAAAAAATAGCAATTTGATTAAAATCAATGTTAACCGACTTTAAAATGTTCAATGTAAACCATAAATCCCTCAGTCATCATCAATCAATACTTAGCATCCCAGACATTTACACACTGGTAAAAGTATTATACAAGACTAATATTTTCATGCATTTAGTACATTTAAAATATTGAAAGGCATGTGCATTTACTGTTAGAACAAAAAAAAACATTTTACTTACTGTTCTGTCCTCAAGATACATTGTTTTCGACAAGAAATCGATTCCTATTGTGGCCTGAAAATTAAAAGCAAGGAAACGAAACTTTAAAGGATAAGAAACATCCAAACAACTCAAAGAACATCAGAACATTGTGTAAAGTTGCAGAATGAGTCTGAAAAATATTCACTCACCTGGTAGGTATTATCGAAACTGTCATACATAAATCTGGTAATTAAAGATGTCTTTCCCACTGCAAAATCAAATGAAAAATTAACTTGTTACTATCAAAACATTATCTTTATTACATCCTTGTGAAGTTGTGACCTGTATGCCAAATTTTATTCAGAGACACTTCTGCATCAATGATCATCATTTTTAATGACAATACATTTTCCTAGAAGGAAAAGATCCATCCAGGGACACAAATTAAATGTCTATTTCATGAGTATCCATCCTTTGATACACCTAACATTTGATGTTGTCATGCTAATAGATTTCACTCCAAAATCACAACTTCAAAAAAAACGGACTGAAGCAAATGTCTGCATGAATGCATAAATCTGTCCACATCCATTTCAGATTCACATCAGAATCTTCTCACATGAATGAAACATACAGGATAAAATAGATTGAAAAACTGCATGTGACATGAACACATGCATCAGTATCTATGCAAATATATGCAAACAGTTTGAATATTTGCAATGTTTATTTACTACTCAAATTTTTAGAAATCCAAAAAAAGCAATTTTTACACATCTAGTCTAACTAAAGTAAAAAAAAAAAAAAATGCCACATGATCTTTGTTTATGCTGTATACTGATTTACATCTGGCGTACTGTTGAATTCTGGGACCAGTGATTTTTTCACTAGCATGAATTCAAAAAGAGATTGACAGGCCACCTGTGTTTGGTCCAGATATCTCAGAAAGGAGAATGGATCTTCATACTGAGAAATGAAGTGGTATCTATTAGTCAGTGCTGGTGTTTTTAATCACACTCAAGTTCTCCTAACATTTGAAACGTGAGTGTTCAATAGTTAGTAGATCCAGATAACTTCATGTCAGCAAAACACAGAGTCGAATATGTGAATATCATGTTCACACAGGAGACAGACAAAAATATACTGTGAAAAGAAGTTCAAGACCAGACTTTACATGAAGTAACAGTTGATATTTACGGTTTTGGCTGATGTATGAAGGCTTCAAAACACAAGTGGGTTTTTGACAGGTTTCACTAAATTTGTGAGCAAATTATCAAAAGTATAACCAAATAAGTACACAAATTCCTGCACACACACACTTCTATTTAGATATATCAGATATTTGGCACACAAAAGGTCAGATTATATTATACTACAGAATAATACATCATATATATATTTATTTATATCTTACCCACACACACACATATATATGTATATATGTGTATATATATATATAAAATGTAGCACATATTTTGCAATATAATACACTCACTCAAGATAAACACATTCACTCATAATGTTACATACACACACAGATATTTAAGCAGATAGTCAAACCGTCATATACACGAACACACACTCATGAAGAAAGAGAGTCGGGACCAGTAACGCTAGGTTCGGTTCGACACTCACCGCTCTGTTCTCCCAGAAACACCAACTTGAATTTGCGGAGCGGGTTGCCGAAATCTCCTGTTGCAGACATGCTGCCGGTTCCGCTGGGCCTAACGTGCGTCTGAATGTGTTGCTATAACTATTAAAATGCTCTAAACAAGAAAATAAAGCCTCTACTATCCCTGTTCCTCTAATTCGGTTCGGTTTGAGACTCTCAGCCGCCTATACAGGCCCAGTTCTACGCCGCAACCTAACATGACACTCACAGAGGCGTGATTGACAGCTCAGCTCAGCCTATAGAATTTGAGAGAAAACAAAGACATGCGTCCAATCAACACGTCGTTCTTGTCAAATTAATTACACAGTAGTGGATAATTAATTAGGTCGCACTGAAACTATTCAGATATGATCTCAATACCATTAGTCATATAATTTATTATTTATTTATTAATTTATTATTTATTAATTTATTAATTCACTTGTTATTATTTTGAGCGTTACATTTCATGTGATGTCTTTTCTTTATAACATGTAAATTGAACAGGCTCGCTGAACTGTTTAATTCGCATCCGTATTCAAATGTGATCTATGTTTTTGAGTTCTTAAAACGTATTTGCTTGTGAAAATTAAATTGTTATTTCTGTATGTACTGGACTGAGCCAGCGGAATGTTGTCTATATATGGAAACGAGGCGGGACGCCAAACAGGTTAGATTGAGCTTTGCAAGTGCCACGTCACGTTCCTAGCGTCACTGCCCTGCATCATCGCGTTCCGTTAACCCTTGAACTGTGCAAAGCGGGAGTTTGCCAGGATTTAATTACTCTGTCGCTGCCAATTTTAAGATATAATACAATTATATGCAAATACAAGATAAATTACACTAATGCTTGATTTCTCTGTCAGAGGTTATTTATGATTATTTCACGTACCTAGTGTAGAATAGGTTAATATTAGGACAATTTTGTGAATTCTGTTTTTTCCAATTAATATTTCAACATTACATTTTTCCTAAGCACAGTAATAACTTATAAAATGCTAAAACAAATCAAACTGATTTTAATCGCAAAACTATGTGCCGCTTCTGCTCCAGCAGGCGGCAGCAATGCGGCGAACGAGCGTTAATTCACCTGCTGAAAACCGGGTAGAAGATCGGGCGCAGTACATGCTGTTTTTATACAGTCTATGAGTACATGCGCCTCTCGGAGTAATATTTACGAGTTTTGGCTACGTATCTATAAACTTTACCGCTGAATTAAAATATTAGCGTGAAACAATGAACACTTTACTGAACAAGGTGCAGTATTTAGTTGTTGATGTTTTGCAGCGGTATAAGTTATGCTGTTGACATGAGCCAAGGTCGTACAGGAAGAGCAGATATGAGAGTGTTATATATTTTTTAAAGTTTACTGTATTTACAATCATATTTTTTAGTTTGTGCAATTCTTTTGTTTCAGGTTTTATTTAGGGATGCACGATATATCGGCCACCATATCGGTATCGGGCAAAATTTTCATATCGGTGCATCCCTAGTTTTATTGTTACAGAACACGGGTGCTGGTGTGTGCAGCATCATCGGTTCAGTAAGTGTCATTTTATTGGTAGATAGATCTATCTATCTATCTATCTGCATGTATATTAATCTGTGTTTTTTCTCTAATGTCACAGAAGTCAAGTGTTAACTACACAGATGCTTTTGGGTAAGAGAATATGTTGTTATATGTTTAATTTTCATATATGCGTGTGTGTACAAGTATAGGTAACTGACAGTAATCAAGTGATGAGTGAACAGACAATCATTGACAGTAATCAAGTGATGTTTTTGTGTCTAAACAGGTGTATTACTGACTAACAGACAGTATAGATCAATGCCCACGCGTGGTATTGGAAAATACAGACATCTTCTTCCAAAAGCATTGGCAAGACCTAATGTGTTGTCCATTATCTGTATAAATGTTTTTACTGCCTGTTCTTCTAAATTATTTCTATTCAGCCAAAGAAGAAGAAGGACAGAGTTCAGGCGAAGCAGATCAAAGCGGCGTCGGCAACAGAGTTTGGTATGTTTAATGTGTGTTTCCGGTAATGACATGACTCTAGTGGAACATTATTCTCAGTACATCCACAATCTCTGCAATCATTTGGACATCAAAGTCGATGAAAGGTGGGACAGAGAGAGACTTTTTCCTAACATATTTAGGAAATCCCTATGCACAAAACTAAGATATTTTCTTAAAATCTTGTATTTTTAATTAATTTATAGTTTTTTAAAATCAATTTCATTTTACATCCTATTAATTATTATTATTAGGTAGTGGTGAAATGAATGATCTCATTTATGTTTGAAAGCTATGCCCTGCCTACAAAAAGCACAGAGGTCATGGTGATGCAGGAGCAAGGCACTAAGATGTATGTAGATGAAGTCCTGAAAACCCATGAGCGTGTTGTTCAGGTGAATACTTTGAGTTTGTGTTTGGTCATATGAATTAATTGTATGATTGAATGTAATCGATATAGGGGTCCTGTAGCTATAACAGATTTATTGGTGGTGTGTTTATAGATCAGTGAAATGAAGGTAACACTTTTTCCCATATTTATGGACGTTAGCCTGAGGGGGTGCGATTCTGTGTAAAGCAGGTCAGAAAATTACACCTTACACTTATTGACACTGTTCTTATATTTATTTTAAATATGTCTGGCTGCATTTGACACTTCTGTAAATTTTTATGGTAATTGTTAGGCTTAATTTGTTTTTTTGGGGGGGGGTTCCAGCACACGGAAACAGATTTTCAAGCCCGGTTTAAGACAAGACCTGAGCTTGAGGGACTTCTTGCAAAAATTAATAATTAATAAATTATTTTGAAATAACATATACTTTTACTAACATATACTTTTGACATGTTTTTCATGTAAAATAAGAAGTGTCAGACAGTTTTCTACCCCATGTGTGCTGTAATGAATTTGTGAAGCAATAAACTACCCCATGAATGTTTTCCATATTTAGTCGTTTTTGGCTTCTTTTGAATGCAGTAACAATAATTTGAGGAGTGTTTAAACCAGTGCTGTCAAACGATTAATCACGATTAGTCGCATCCAAAATAAAAGCTTTTGTTTACATAAAATGTGTGTGTACTGTGTATATTTATTATGTATATATAAAAACACACATACAGTATATATTTTGAAAATATTTACATGTATATATTTATATTAATAGAATTTGTATTATATAAACATAACATATTTTTCTTAAATATATACATGCATATGTTTGTTTTCATATATATATATATATATATATATATATATATATATATATATATATATATATATATAATAAATATGCACAGTACACACACATTATGTGAACAAAAACTTTTATTTTGGATGCGATAAATCGCGATTAATCGTTTGACAGCACTAGTTTATCCTCTCTGTCACTGTGCTGTATCACATCACTGTTGTTGGCAGTTTCACAATATTCCGAAATGTTATAAAAGACCGCATTTCCCAGAGTTCCAAGCTCCGTATCCATAGCAACCATTTTGACAACAGTAAACTAACTTAACAGAAAGAGCTCAATGTTCATTCCTACTGAGGAAATTCGGGTTTGCATTTGTGCATCAATACGGTTAAAGTGTAAAGATTGAGCTAAATAAATAGGCCATGGGAAGAGACTATTACGCTGTTTTGGAAATAAACTGCAACGCCACTGATGCTGACATAAAGAAGGCGTAAGTTACTATTTGTTTGGTTTCTAAGTAGTATTATGTGTATACACTTCATTAAAAGCAGAAAAAGATATGGTTTATTGTCATTTTGAGGACGTTTTCTTTTTGTATCAGCTACCGGCGACTCGCGCTGAAGCATCACCCGCGCAGCAGCAGCCACGCGCGCGCCGCCGAGCGCTTCACTCTGCTCGCGGAGGCGTTTGACGTGCTGAGCGACCGTAAGTTCACAAGACCAATTATAGAATACAAACCTACAATAAAATACACAACAGCACTTGAATATGCGACACAGCGTTACAATATTTACTATAAACGGGTTGATATTACAACGGCAATGTTTCCCAACATTTTTGGTTCCTAGTCCTAGAACGTTCTGGCAAAGTTAGTTTATGGTTATAAAAATAAAACCTACCATATCCGTTACAGAACGTTGTGTATAAGTTCTTATTGTTCTCACATAAAAGTTTGTGTTATAAAAAGAATGTTAGAACGTTAAGATTTGGTTCCCCAAAACAACCAAATGGAACCGAAAAGGGGAACATTCCGCATTTGCAGGGATGGTATTCTTGGAGGTACCATGTAAATATTTTTCGTAATTCATTATTTATTTTTCATATATACTTGGATTAAAGCAGCAAAGTATGCCTATTACTATCTCATACTATCACTGTACCATGGTATTAAAGAAAACCGCACACAGACAGACCTACAAATGTCACACAGTACACAGTTCAGCCCTCAGTTTTTTCCTGGTAAGCTGGTCATTGTGTTTCTGTTTTTTTATCCAATGCAGCACGTAAAAAGGCCACATATGATAAGTTTGGAGAGGAGGGTTTAAAAGGAGGGATCCCGTCTGAGCTGGGAGTGAATGGCGCCTGGTCATCAGGATATGTGTACCATGGAAATGTAGATGAAACGTTCAGACAGTTTTTTGGAGGAGATAATCCTTTTGCAGGTTAGGATGAAAAAGCTGTATTGTTTTTCTTCAATGAATGAGCTTCTTGTATCATTTCATGAATGTAGATTTCAAAAGGCAGTCTGGTGCAACTAAGTCTTAAATTAATAAATAAAATGTCCTGGTGTTTTGAAGAATCCCAGTTCTTATTAGTAATATGTGTCATAGATTTTTTCACCAATGATGGCAGTGAGGACAACACAGCTCTTAAGAGCTTGCGTGGACAAAAAGAAAAGCTACAGGACCCACCAATAGAGAGAGACCTTCACCTCGCCTTGGAGGACCTTTATTATGGATGCACTAAAAAAATTAAGATATCCCGTAGGGTAAGTTCTGCATGCAGGTGTACAAATACCATAATTTGGACTCATGAGAAATTAATTTCAGAGATGTGTTTGATATAGGTCATGAATGAAGATGGACACACATCCAGCATCAGGGACAAAATTTTAACCTTCACTGTAAAAGCAGGATGGAATGAAGGGACACGGATCACGTTTCCAAAAGAGGGAGACCAGGCATGACCACACATTATCACAATTTTATTTCATTGTGTTTTTAAATTGATCTTAGTCCTCTCAGAATGTAAGTTTTTTTCTCCACAGGGACCAAACAACATCCCAGCAGATATTGTTTTTGTCATACGCCAAAAGCATCATTCACGCTTTGTTCGCCAAAATGATGATCTGTACTACACAGCACATATTTCTCTTGAGAAGGTAAAAAAAAAAAAAAAAAAAGTTTTCATCACAAGCAAAAACATATTTCAAACATATTTTCCCTTTAGTTTTTATGCCAAATATGTGATAGGGTTTTCAATCAGACCAACATGACAACTTGAATTGAATCAACATTATATTTTAGTTTAGTATGATTTTGAATATAGATTTTTGTGGCAACTCTGCAGGCTTTGACTGGTTTCTCAGTAGAAGTTGAGACACTAGATGGCAGACTGCTCAACATCCCCATCAATGACATTGTGCAGTGAGTAACCATTTCCTTCTCTCTTTGAGATACATTGGTCAAATAACAGACAAAAAAAAAAAAAAAAGCACACTTTGTGGTTTTCATATATAAGGAAAATGTCATTAATTTCTTTATATTATAGCCCTCAGTACACCAAAATTGTGACCGGGGAGGGAATGCCACTAGCCAACAACCAGTCCAAGAGAGGGGACCTGATCATTCGCTTCATTACACAATTCCCAGAGAAGCTCTCGCCTGAAAAGAAACAGCTTCTAAAACAAGCTCTCTCATCCAAACTCATTCAGGCATCTTAAAGTCATAACTAGAAACATTAAAGGAATTAAAACACTTCAACTCAAAATGCTAGAGTTTGAAATTGGTGTTAAGAAGAGCCTCATTTTTTTGGCACAAGACAGACAAGAATAGAGTAAGTCTAAATCATTTTTAATAGACATGTAAACGGTTCTTACAGAAAACCTAAAAACATCAAGAGAAAGTCAGAACCACATCAGCAAAGCTCAACTAATTGCATTCGCTGCTTAAAGGGGAGTGGCCCAGTTATGGCGTGCTGCCATCAGGGCCCGTTTCAGCTGTTCATAGGTGACAAACATAACCACATTCCAGGAGCCCAGCCTCAGGAACGATGGCATGAATCTAAAAAGAACACAAACAGATGTCACTTCAACATTCATCCTTAAATCATTACAGTAAAGCTATAGTGTGTAAAGAGCTAACCCCTTGTAAAAAGCCTTTGGTCCCTCTTTAGTCAGCATGGCTACAGCACAGTTGAGGGCACTGCTGTACTGGCCCGGGGCGGAGTTCATGTATCTTGTCTTCACAACATCAACAGGAGAAGCAATAACTGTGGTGCAGAAACCAGCTCCAAATGCAGATGTGAAGTGGCAGGGAAGATCATCTGTGAAGAAAAACAGCTATAAATATTTCTGTCACGGTCTGACACTTAAGTTTGCAATCATTTTTTGCAGTCTCATCTTACCAGTCATCAGCGATGATTTTAGAAGTGCATCTTTGATAAGATCATAGGTCACCAGCTCAGTGCAGTTTACAATGGCATTGCGGGTGATGTTTGGGCCAGTTCCTAAAAAAAAAAAGAGAGAGAGAATGATAATGACAATATAATAATAATAATGAGATCAATACACAATAATAATAATAAATAAAAACAATTATAAATCATCATCATTAAAATAATTAGTTTATCAAATGTTTATAATAATGTTTGCATTTATAAACTCATTTTAACAAACTAAGCAATTAAAAACAGATTTTAAAATAGTTTATAATATCATAAACTAAATAGATAAATAATTGGTATTAAAATATAACAACAACAACCATTATAAATTATCAAAATATATTTAGTATTATAAACCATTAATAAATTATTAACTAATAACTTAACCAATTAAAAAGTTGTTTAATTATAAACTAAGATTTAAAATAAGTTAATATAATAACAACAAATTAAAATATTTTGTTATTATAAACAAATATGAACCAATTAAACTGTTAATCCATTTATTTATATTATAAACTAATTTAAAATAAATACATCAAAATATATATTTAGTTTAATATTGTAAACCAATTAAAAATAGATTTAAAAAAAAAATAGGTGTTAATTTGGTTTACAATGTAACAAATTTTAATAATAGTAAATTAGTACAAGATATCCATTTTACCTCAAACATTTTTACTAATATTGTTATTATATTAATAATAAATGTATTTATTTTATAATATAACAATTCAAATTGATATTTTTTTTATTATTATTATTCCAAGTTGGTCCAGGCTCACCTTTCCACAAACCACGAAACCCCTCTTCCTTTGCAATGGTCCGATATGCATCCATAGTACCATGGTAACGTTTATTGGCCCCAGCGCTGATCTGAGCCTGAAATCGTACCTTCACCACATCGGTGGGTTGGGCCACAGCCACGGCCATGGCTCCAGTCGTACAGCCAGCCATCAGCCGACTGCCAATCCCGACGTCTAAGGAAAACGATGCATTGAATGGCATGAATATGAAAGGTCTTGCATTACAAATGGTTTCCAATCATCCCTGCATACAAGCATTTGGCAACTTACGATCTGAGCCTTTGGTGTAGAACTGCTTGACGGAATCATAGAGGCCAATGCGTACGGAGGCAAAGCTCATCTGACGCTGCAGTCCCGCAACCAGCCCGCTGTAGAGACTGCGCGGCCCCTCGACACGCACCATGGTGCTGATCGTGCCAAACACTCCACGATATTTCACCGGACCATGGCCTGTGTTCACGGGACTTTTGGTCTCCCCCTGAATCTGTACAGAACAAAAGTTGGATGGAGAAACTTTACAGAATCACAGGGGAGGGAAGCAGCATCTTCAGTTTAAAAGGGTCCATAGAGATCCTGGGTCAGCAAGGACAATCATCGAGGCCTGGACCTGCTTACGTTGCTAGTGTAAAGAGAGTCAAGAGAAATAGATAAAGCTGATGTCAGTATGGGTTTGACTTTAAACATTCCACCTGAAATCAAAGGTTAGTTTTTGTTAATGCAAGTTGATCTGGGTCAAGTCGTCACCCGCGTCTGTTGTCTCCAGACTCAACCGCTGGCTAAGCTGTCACACAAGCAAAAATATGTCATTTAAACAATGTACTCAAATTCCACACAACAAAGACTCACCTGAAGTCTAACTTTCACGGTGTCCAGTGGAAATGTGAAGAGGTCTGCAATGCAGGCTGCAGTTCCTGCACCAATAAACTTCACAGTGGCTGTAGGAGGCACATCACCAGCTCTGAATCCAACCATGTTTAGTTGCAGTTGGAATCACAGGAACGTAAAGGTGAAATGGAATGCGTTGAAAACCAATGAAGTGAACACAAGATAGGTGAACTCCACCCTAACCTGGATTAGGAAGACACATGATTACTTTCTTTTGAAGCTTATGGTATGCATTTAATGCCTTTTTTTATTATGCAAGTTTAAGTCATTTGGGCTGGGACAATTTAAATGCAATGTAAAGGCTCTGTACGGTCAACAGACAAAAACGGAACATGTTCTCTTTAACGTGCTAATCTATATGCTGACGTCACATCCTGTTTACATCTGGTGCCGCTGCAGCCCGGAGATCTCCAAATGGGGGCGGAAACTCCAAAACGGGGTGGGAGCTCCAAAATAGGGCGTGGCTTCCTCCCATTGACAGACAGGCACATGACACGCATGCGCAATTTCCCCCCCCCCCATCCACTTCAGTGCAAACTCCGCCCCACAGCTGATTCTAAATATTTTATTGGTTGTGTCAATTAAAGTGTTGATTTCCTACATTATGCTACAAAAAATGCTAACCCCTAAACCTACCCCACACTTGACCCTAACCTTAACCAGTGAAACTGACTGCACGGCGGGAATGGCGCTGAATAGCGTGGTAAAGAAAGATGCAGTTCAGGAGATAAACAGTTAATAAGATTATGCGATATGAGATTGTTCCGTAACTCCCCAACCGGACCTCACCGGACAATGGCACCTTTTTAGTTACACCCAGCGTCACTACCCCCTCCTACCCTGTGAATTTCGTGCCCCGGGACGCCCCGATGCTTGGAACAAAGTGATAGAGTAAAATCTTTCCCCTGTGCTGGGACGGCTTGTGGGTGATTCCCGTTTATATCATGAAGCAGAGGTTCAAACTCCAGTCCAAACACCACTGGCCACGAGCTTTGGGCTCTGCTCTCACGGAGAACAGTTACTTATATAGCATATTTTATTTTAGATGAACTAGAAACAATGTTTAATTTATAAAGTTTTATTTTGAAATGTAAGTCAATAACAATTGGCTGAAGCCAGAGCCAATGGTGAAAGTCTTTGCGAGAGGAGACCCCGCCCCATTTTGGAGGTTCTGCCCACTTTTGGAGTTCACGCCCCATTTTGGAGATCTTCGGTCTGCAGTTATATCGACTTGGCTTTGCTGGCTTTCGACCACACAAAGGAGCTTTAATACAGGAAGTGCGGATACACAAAATGCGAGAGTATGTAATGCTGGCATAATTTTACATCAACTGTATTAACCTTATTGATTAAAACAAGTGAATAAACGCGTTTACGAAACTTTTTGTACCAACCGGTTTGGATGAGAACTTCAAGATTCTCTGAAAGTATCTCTCTGGTTGAAATGACTTGCAACTTGAATTTTGTTCCCGCGTTCTTCCATAGAGAAACGTTTAGAACCCGTACAAATCAAAAACATACTCCAAAGTCTGCAAGACAATAATATTTCCGTGTTACATACAGCTCTGCATCACTTTAAATCATTCAACAAAATACTTTGCTGGCTTTCGACCACACAAAGGAGCTTTAATACAGGAAGTGCGGATACACACAAAATGCGAGAGTATGTAATGCTGGCATAATTTTACATCAACTGTATTAACCTTATTGATTAAAACAAGTGAATAAACGCTTTTACGAAACTTTTTGTACCAACCGGTTTGGATGAGAACTTCAAGATTCTCTGAAAGTATCTCTCTGGTTGAAATGACTTGCAACTTGAATTTTGTTCCCGCGTTCTTCCATAGAGAAACGTTTAGAACCCGTACAAATCAAAAACATACTCCAAAGTCTGCAAGACAATAATATTTCCGTGTTACATACAGCTCTGCATCACTTTAAATCATTCAACAAAATAACTTAAAAAGTAACGGAGAAAGTCTATTATATAATGTCATGTAAGGTCACAATACTCACCCTAAACAAAAATGTCTAAAGCGTCTGCGAAGAAAAGTGTTTACTAGCGAAAGATAACTTCCTCGGAACGCAAACAGTTAAACCCCGCAGGTGCTCTTTTCTGTTCTGAACGCTGCAGCGAGCTTTTAAACGCCTTCGAGGGAGTCACGTGACACGCGTGACGCGTCATTCAGCGCATAAATGAACGCCTCTGCTGACTTTACTGATAAAACCTAAAACCCGTTCTCCAAAGCGCAGCTTTCATTGTTTTCGGTTTATGTTAAAAAGTGCAGGTAAATGCTGCTAAACGTTCACACACAGGGTTTCTATGAGGTTTCGAGTCAAAATACTATTGCACAATTGAGTATTTTCTCTTGTTCAAACTTGTTGATTATTATAGTTAATAGAGGCCTGGTGTTGTTTTGTATTTCGGAATTATTCACTCTTTAAAATAATTTGAACGGCAGGTTCTATTGTGACAACTTACCCTATGTAATGACAACATGCCAATACTTTAAGGTAGCCTATGTGCTTATACACATATGAAATTGACTTTTTCAAAAACAAATCTATCTTTATAGGTTTGAGAAAAGTGTGACAACTAGTTTGACCGAAACGCTGAGCCACTCTGAATGTGTACAGTAGTAGGCTATGTGTAGTTGCACATATATTTTTCATAAAACAGGACTTTCAGTTGTCCCTCTTTTAAAGAAACAGTCTTCAGGGAGCATCAGGCATCTCTTATCACACTTCCTCGGTATCCTGAAACATGTGAGTGCTTTTTGTCATGCACTTCAACGATTTGCATTTGTCTTAATGTTAATTTGGCACATGCAATTCACAGCTTTGTTCTAACGAAGATTTTGTTTGTCTGTCTTTTATTAGGTCAGCATGAGAGCAGTTTGAAGCCACTTTCTGGTCCTTTGTTATGTGAAAGCCATTTGTATTAAAGTTACCCTCTGGGTGTCAGGCTCTCAGTTGATTTGATCATTGATTGATTAAAAGACTCTCGGCTTTAGGGGAGACAAATGCATGTGATCTTAATGAGTTGCATGTAGCAGATTTGATACTTAAAACAGTTTAGACCTCATTCAAGGAAACGGATATATCATAAAAAGCTTTATTTTTCAATAATGTACAGTTTACAAATTATAGTATAAATATACATGCATTCATTAGAGCTATGGACCCGTTTTAATGACATATTTAAAAGTATTTACATTAAAAATGGACATATATCCTTACTATTATTATCCAATGACATTGTAACTAAGACAAATATCTCAATTTGCTTTCTCAGTCATGCGTCTCATGATTTTTGGCAGCTCATCTTTCATTTTTGATGAACTTGACCATTGGCCTTAACAAGTTGCAGCCTTTTTCAGTGATAAGACTTAACCCGGGAATCCCTTTGTTCTCATAACAGAGGACTTGACTTATATTTGCACTCTCTGTTTAATCTAAATCAGAAGATGCTGACAATGTCCATTCAGAAAGGTGACTCCCATGAGCTCTGCATTCTAGTCAGACCTCTCTTGATTTGCTCGTAGGAGACAAACATCACAATGTTCCAGGATCCCAAGCGCAGGAAGGAGGGCACAAAGCTGTTGGGGAAGATGAAGATGACAAATTCATGGTACTGAAAATAAGACTGTGTACCTTGTTCTATACAAATAATAGTTCATAGCATATTTTTCTTACCCCTTATAGAAAGCTGTTGGTCCCTCTTTGGTCAGCATAGTGAGGGCACAGTTTAGTGCACTGCTGTACTGGCCTGTAGTTGAGTTCATGAAGCGGGTCTTTACTACGTCTACTGGAGATGCCACAATCGTGGTGCAGAAACCAGCTCCGAATGCAGCAATAAAGTGGCAGGGTAGGTTGTCTAATGAGGGCATATGTGTTAGACAACAGGAACATACAAATAGCCATAATAAAAGCATAGGGTTCGTAGGTTTCATACCTGTCATGAGGTCATATTTTAATATGAGTTCCTTGATAACGTCGTAAGTGACCAGCTCTGCGCAGTTTACAATCGCGTTCCTTGTGATGTTTGGCATGCAGCCTAAAATAGAGAAACACATGCATGTTTATCTCAACCAGAACACATCCACTTAGAATGGCATGTGGAAGTTGAATTTAAAGGGCCAGTGCACCAAAAAATGACAGTCATAATTTACTCACCCTCATGTTTTTCCAAAACTTTTATTTCTTCTGTGTAACTAAAAAGACGATATTTTGTATTTGTATCCATACAATGAAAGTCAGTGGGGGTCCAGTTTTGCTTTGGACAGTGCTATTTCGGTATTATTTGATTATTTATTAACATTTGAAATAAGATTTCTTTTTACATTTTCAGTTTTCATTTTAGTTCAAGTTTTTGTAAATTTGTTAAGTGCCTATGCCATTTTTATTACTTATACTTCATTTGAATTTTTCATTTAATTTAGTTTTTTTATGTAATCATTTAATTTATTGAATCTTTTTTTGTAATAGTTTAAGTTTTAGTTATAGTTAGCAATAACAACACTGGTTTGGACCCCGATGACTTACATTGTGTGGACGAAAACAATAATAAAAAAAGAAATTTCTAAATATATTTTCTTTCCGAAGAAAGAAAGTCATACAGGTTTGGAATGAAATGAGGGTGAGTAAATCATGATAGAATTTTTGGGGAGGGTGAACTATCCCTTTTTAAGAACTCTCGCTCACCCTTCCAAAGCCCCCGAACACCCTCATCACGTGCAATAGTCCGATATGCATCCATTGTGCCGTTGTATCTCTTTAATCCGTCAGATTGACGCACTTGAGCCTGGAAACGCACTTTTACGACATCTGTGGGCTGTGCAAACACGACAGCCATGGCCCCAGTGGTGCAGCCAGCCATTAGACGAGTGACAATATTTGCATCTGAGAAGAAAAGAGCAGAGTGTAAGGATCAGTGTCACCACTATCATTCCTGTCTCTATTCATACCACCAGTCTGATACTTACTCTCAGATCCTCTGGTGTAGAATTGCTTCATTGAGTCATAAAGGCCGATACGAACAGATGCGAAGCTCATTTGTCGTTGCAGTCCTGCCACCAGGCCATTGTACAGACTCCTTGCGCCCTCTGTATGCACCATAGTGGCAATGGTGCCAAATACTCCACGATATTTCACCACAGCTGATCCTGAGGCAGCTGTAGACTCTCCCTGGATCTGAAATAAGACAAATGGATTATCAAAATATGCTTTTTGTGTAGTTATTCGATTGTTTCAGGCACAATGCAAACATGCTTCAAACAACTCTTAATGGCACCAAAAATGATTTTCTTTATGCCAAGCTTTTTGCATATACAGCTTATTATTATTATTATTATTATTATTATTATTATTATTACAATTATATAAATTATAAATATAAGTTCTCACCTGAAGTCTCACTTTTGCTGTGTCCAGTGGGAAAGTGACCAGATCAGCAAAACATCCTGCTAGTAATTCGATTGTTTCAGGCACAATGCAAACACGCTTCAAACAACTCTTAATGGCACCAAAAATTATTTTCTTTATGCCAAGCTTTTTGCATATACAGCTTATTATTATTATTATTATTATTATTATTATTATTATTATTATTATTATTACAATTATATAAATTATAAATATAAGTTCTCACCTGAAGTCTCACTTTTGCTGTGTCCAGTGGGAAAGTGACCAGATCAGCAAAACATCCTGCTGTACCAGCTCCAAAAAACTTGACAGCGGCAGTTGGTGGCAGGTCGGTAGGTTTGATTCCAACCATTTTTTTCTGTGCTTCTGACAGAAACTTTAACTTTTATTTTTATTTAGAGCTTCTTGCGTTTCCCCACCTGAGGGAGAATAAGAAGCAGGCCAAAACTGGTTAAGATTCATCATCGCAAATTAACCATCTTGATTCAGATCCAAGAATTGAAAATAAATATTTAGGCTTCGATTTACCTCAGCAGACTGCTCATTCAAGATCAAGTTTCTTCCAAAGGAATAACTCTCTTGTCTTTTGTTTTAAATGTTTCAACACCTTTGGCCATAAAAAATTGTGGCTCAGTGTCCCAAAGCAGCATACCAGCAGCACAACACTACAGAGAAACATTTGGGATCAATGCAAATCATCTGTGACTTGTGGTTATAGATAAAGCATGACTCTTAACTCAATATTTCTCGTAATTTCAGCTGTGGATACCCAGAAATACAAAAATCAATATTGTATGAAACATAATAAATTACAGTGTATCTCTCATTATCAGCATGGGCGAAATATAATAAAATACAGTGTGCTCACCAACCTTCTGGTAATATGAAATTGTTAGTCCAAATTGTACAGACAGAAAGCAAAATAATTACTTCCATCCAGGGTTTAATCCAGCGAGTGTGTTTTCCACCTGAGTATGGTGGAATCGGTCTGTCAAACCTGAATTTATAGGTGCGTGTGCCGGTTGCAGCCAGTCCCATGTATTCCTTTCGTCACACATGACTCTAATTTTAACTTTGTGTGGCGGGAGAACGTGTACACTTGTTTACTAGTTGTCACTGACAGTGTTGTTATCTGCCCTTCATATGAAATGTACACACATATCAATAAAAACAATAGGCCTATATTAAATTATTATATATACATTTTTTTATGTTCATTGTTTTTAATTTATAAATAAATGAATTATATATTTTGAATACAAATTATATATTGTTATATATTTATTTATAAATAAATTCTATATAAATTCTATATCTATCTATCTATACTGTGTATATATAGATATGTACACACATAGGTTACATGGCATTTTGGAATTTTTACTGCTAATTTAATTAATTATACATGACAATGTCACAGAATTTTCTTGTGCATTTCCAATTAAAATGATTAATTTTATTGTTTGTTTATTGTTATTCACAAAAATAGATGTTCATGGACACACATGTGTCACAGTCATGTGTTGCTTGACTGTCACCTTTCCCCTGCTTCCCAAAACACCTCTGGAACGTGGCCAGCAGGAATTTTGCTCTGTAATCTGAGTGTGATCTCATTGGCTGCTGAGTGTGCCTGGGGCTATATGTTCATCATATCAAACAGGGGGCTTGTCGCTTTGACCTAAGTACTTAGACTTAGGGATAATTTTCATTTCTGCTATTTACAGAGAAGGGATCAGTGTTTCAAATAAAAGTTGCCGTCCATTTATTAAAAAACACAATGTTTTTTCCATTCATTTAGTCATTGCCGGATAAATAGAAACCAATGCCTTAACATATACATAAATACGCCGGACATCCATGCCACAACAATATGTACCAAGATGCTGCTCTGCCCCAAACTTGTTAAAGTTGTATAAGCTCTTAGGGGAACGCCACTCTTAACAGCCAATCTGTGCTTGTTTCGTGGTGGGAGTGAATGTAAGGCATCTGCTAACAGTAAATCAGGAACCTCCGTAGCCCGGATGAATCCAGATCAGGTCTAAACCAGCCAGAGGCCCTCAGAGAGGGTACAGGTCCAGGTCATATTTACCCCAAAATCAAAAGAAAATATGTATAGATGTATTTATGTAGATGTATTTTAGTATCCCAAAAAAAATTCATGAAAAACCCATTAAGATTCTCCCAAAAGTGTCAAGGGGCCAAAAAGAGAGAAAATCTCTCTCTCTCTATAAAGTTATAAGTTATATATACTGTAAGTTATAAGTTAAGTTTTTCTGGACATATGCAGTGATCTGACAGAAACATAAAAGTACTAAAGTACCAAAAAAAAAAAGAATTTAAAACTAAACTTATTATAGTCTGGTTAATATGATCATTCATTACCGTTTGGCTGCTATTTAAACTTTGGCTTTGAACAAGCGGCCAAATGACCAGTTACGTGACAGTGGCATTATCATGTTTCAATAAATGGTGAGATATATTTCCTGTCTAGGCCTGCAGTCTTAAAGCTGCAGTAAACGGGAAGAAAATTAAAGCAAAATATCCTTCACAGACGTGTTTGTGCAGGTACTGTACTTGAGATCAGACCATTCAGTTTTTGAAAGCGCTGTGTTATAATGATATTTCTGCCACAGCAGATATTGCACCATTCAAATAAACAACCTGCTGCTGTTTGCAACTGTCATAGACCCACTAAGGTCTATTAGTATGAATGAGTGACCTGTGAGCTCCTAGAATGGGTTTGCATCACTGATCAGCCAATAGCAGCTTGTGATTAAACCTTATTCATTGTTAATTTCTTACCTTCTGTATTTTCAAGATTTGTTTGTGTGTTTGTGTCTAGACTGGAATCCCTTGTACCTTCTCCACATTGTTTGATCTGCGAACTTGATGCCATATCTTTGCTGTCTGCATCCAGCTAGAACCAGTTTCTTCAATGTACCCTGTGATCTTTCAGCTTCTGAAAGAGGTAAACAACCACCTGTGTCGTGCCAGACACACACTCACCCCATCCCCTACTGAAAGCGGATACATCCATAACTGACGCAGATGCAGATATGAATTCATGTCTACCATAGACAGCTACCGCTGAGACCTGCTGTATTAATAAATATTTCCTCTGAAAGCACAGGCACATCTAAATATATACTTTTCCGTATTCAAGCAAAGGTCAGTAGGTCACACTCAGTGTATGGAAAGGTATGCAAGTATCTCATCAAAACTCCATATGTGGTCATTTATCGTACAACAGCCCACCAAAAGTATTGGGACTCTTAAGACACATAAAAATGTCCAAATGTCAAACAGCATCAAGCTAGATCTTTTCTGCTAACTTCACTTGCAATGACATCTAGTTTAACTATGTTTGAAAACTATAAAATGTCCAAATATGTTAATTTTGTACAGTATATTTATTGTTTCATGCACAATGTAAAACTTGTTCATTTTCTTTAAATAAATGCAACATAAAATATTTTTTTGGGAAAATAAAAAAATCCATTTAGTTCAACTATGTTTGAGAACCATAATATCCAAATCCAAGTCTATTTTCTTCATTTTGATCAGTATATTTACTGTTTAATTATAAAAACTCTTCTCTTATCAGGGCCGGCCCTGGCCAATTTGCTGCCCTAGGCATTTTACCTGGTGCCCCTTGCCTCACATTAACATATATAACTAACTTGAACTAGCAATGAACAATACATTTGTAACAGTATTTTTTTTTGTTAGTGTTAGTTATTGACAATTAACCTTATTTTAAATGGTTTCCAGTGAAACTATAAAAATATAGGTGCTGCCTAAGTCACTTTATAAATTAAACACAATTAAACATCAAGAATAATCACATCTAGTATTCCTCCACAAACAAAACTATTCATTTGAACACTTCTCTTGCATACAGCAGGCTACTGTTTAATCTTCAAAATAAATGTGAAAAGTGTTAGATTTCCAGATGACAGCAGTGTTCTGCTAACCCATTCTCATGTTATCACCATGAATTGAACTGAGAAACCTACATCTTTAAAGTGAATTTTACATTCATTTTACTAGTTTAATAAGCCCAGTCATATACAAACATTATTCAATTAGCCAATTTAAATTAAAAATACCATAAATCCCCAAATACTACACAACTATAGCGTAAAAATATTAAAACGTGTTGCCATGTTACACGAAAAATGACACTTATGTTGCAAAATCTTGGATCTCTGGAACTGCAGACATTGTTATTACCCTATTTTAAACTTTTAGACTATAGGCTTTCTAGACTAGGCCAGCATAAAGTTTGTTCACAAACTTTTACCTCATCTAGAGCCCTTAAATGCATACCTCGTGTCTTTAGCGAACCGGGAGATCATTCACTTTCTTCTCCCTCCTTCATTTTTTAAAGTTTGACATCAACTTTCTTAGTATTCCTCAATATATTCATTATAAAAAATATAACAAGAAAAATGCCTGTTTTCTTCTTCTTATAATTATTATTAGATGTTTTTTTTTGTAAAATGTGTATAGGGTCGCTAGAGACCCCATGTATGTAAATGTGAGTAGTGTTTTTTCCTGGACTATATACACATCTGATGACTCAATAAGTGCAATGCATCTTTATTCCTCGAGGTGGCACTGTTTGATACGCAACGACGACGTGATGTTTCACTCATAATTACCGCAGGCATAAAACAAAATAATATCATCAGCAAAAATTCAACTGGTTTGAATGGCTTTACTGCAGAGCAATTACTGTACGCAATGAAATATAAATGTCACTGTCATTTGATGGTGGATGTGATGAATATTCAACAACCTGGCGCTCAACACTCTAAAAACTGTGGAGATGACCGTGGACTTCAGGAGAAACCCCTCTGCACTCCCCCCACTCACCATCATGGACAGCACTGTGACTGCAGTGGAGTCATTCAGGTTCCTGGGCACCACAATCTCTCAGGACCTGAAGTGGGACACTCACATTGACTCCATTGTGAAAATTCTGTATTCCTCCTGTCATTCTTAATATGGCTGTCCCATCATGCCACACCATTCTGTGCAGGCTATTGCTGTGTCAGCTGGCTGACTGCATGGAAATCAGTGGCGATACACTTTAGAAAGTCACTCATGTGACTAAATATCCTTCCACAAAGTTATATCCTTCCACAACTTTTTTGTGCATCTTTTAAGATAATGTTGTTGTTGCTTTTTTAACATAATAGCGCATAAATGTTGGAATTCAAAATAAATAAATAAAAATTTCTCCTCCTTAACCATTAAACTTCCCATTTAATAGTTAAAGACAGTTGAAAGTATCCAGAAATTCACTTACCGCTACACAGAATTGCAATAATTCTGTACAATATAGCTATTGTCCATCAGATATTGCTGAGAAGTTGTTTGTGGTTCTATACTTTTTGGTGTAATTTTACGTTTTAACCTTCTTTTCATCAAACATTTTTCTTTAAAACTATTGATCTATTAGTTTGTATCAGTTTCATATCAGTTTTTAGTATATGTATCCTTCTTAATGAGTGAAATACAAAGAAATATTTTAAAACAACATTTGTTTGCAGTAAATAATCAGGAATGTAATATGTAAATGATGTGATGGTAAGGAAACATTTGCATGTTTCCAAGAAAGAAGAAAGAGAATAACCACAGGGAGGAAAATAAATGAGGAATTCCCTGGGGTTGTGAATGTAACTGGTGTAGTTATAGTCAGGATATACAAATAAAATCTTATCAATCTTTTTTTAATTTAATTTATTTATTTTTTGCTGAGAATGCATCATATGAAAATGCCACACCATGATGTTCTCCCACACGAAACTTTGTAGGCATATATTAAACAATAAGACAGCAGGAGTGCTTCAATTTATATGTACAAAGCAACCAAAGTGTCACATGATTGTTCTGTAATTTCATATTGCTTATCATAAAATTTCCCAGCATGCCTTGTTTCATTCTGCTCTTATATGAACGGCTGTGATAAATCTCATAAATACAGTTAACTGACAGCGCCCTCTGCTGGTAACCTATGACTTTAACAGTTCATTAACTCACCTGGACTCATTATGAATGCATAATGACATGCACTCATACACACGAGTTCACTTTGTTAGTGATCTTAGGGACAGTGTTCACTACTATACTTTGATACTGATCACTATTTATTACTACATTTGTTTTCAGGTAACACGAGAGATGTTACCAATACTCTCCCCATTAGTCCCTGTAAGTATTTCTGCCTGTCTGGATTTCTTTCATGTCCTCTTTCTTCAAAATCTCTCTCTCTCTCAAAGAGAAAGAGTCCCTAAGTGCAGTTTACTGCTGTTGCAGTGTCTCGTGTTAATTTTTCTTTCGTTTGTCTTGTTTTTACTTAATATCTGGAATCTAACTATTGTGCCATTTGAAGTGTTTGGTTTAGGGCCCTTTGTTTCTATTCCACTCTCTGCTGCTGCTTGTGGTTTGTTTACATCAGTTCAGTGTCTCCGACGCAAGGGCTTCTGGGCCATGTGTCTGCCATAGTCGCGGTGCATTGTGGGGAGGTTGTGGTCCTCCAGCGGCTCGGTTCGGAATAATGTCTGCCTCGGAGGCAGCGGACGGTTCTTCCCCGGAATTGTGCCCGAGCTTCGCCGTGATCTGCTCGTTTCTGGAGCGGTATGGAGCTCTGCTGGACCTGCCGGAGGTGTCGTTCCCGGAGCTGGAGCGCAGTCTGCAGGAGAGCAGCGCGGGTGAGCCGCTCCTCCATTGTTGCTCTTCAGCAGCTTTACATGCGTTTAAACGGGCCGTTTGGTACTCCACCCGTGGGTGTCGGTGTTTTTGTCGCCGTTTGTGTCTCTAAAGCGCCGTTTCTGCCGTTAATATCGGCGTTTCGCCCGACGGAAGGTTTTATTGCGCTTTATTTAACGCTACTCATCACAGCGCACAGTAACGCATTGCTGCTTTATTTGCGTTTATATGCGACCTTTTACGTATGGAAAATCACTTGTATTTGCATATAACGACACGCATATTGAGAGGAATTAAATAATCATGTTTATTCATAGTTAAATAATAATTTGGCATGAATTAGTGCGATGTGAGAAGCGCGCATGCGCAGAACGTGTAAACTTTCTGCTCGCGCCGCTGAGAGGGAGAAATGACAATGTGGGATTATTTTGATTGTCAGATTTTGGTGAAAGGTAACAATAAGCCCTTTTATTTGTATCTCTGATGGTTTTGCTACATTATAAACGGGTTAGGTGTGTTTAAGTTGAACTGACGCACGATTTGTTGAGCAGTGTGCTATATCCATATATGCTATATATTCCCTATACCTATCTATCTATCTATCTATCTATATATATATATACACACAACTAATTATAGCAACTATTTATAGGTCCAAAATGCCTCAGCTGTAGTACACTAAATTACAGTTTTGTACACTAAAACTGTAATACATTTATATATATATAAAACATAACTGTTTTGCATGTTTTGTTTATAGTATTAAACCCTAAAATTAAAATTGTCATTCCTTACTCAGCCACATGTTTTTCCAAATCTGCATGACTGTCTTTTCTCCATGCAGTTATTGAAAAAATATTTGGATTTTTTTTGGATGAACTGTCCCTTTAAATTACTACAGTTTTATTGAAGTAACAGAAAATGTAGTTGTAATGGTATTTTTGCTGAAACTATAGCTGCTATGGTATGTACAGGTGCATCTCAATAAATTAGAATGTCGTGGAAAAGTTCATTTATTTCAGTAATTCAACTCAAATTGTGAAACTCGTGTATTAAATAAATTCAGTGCACACAGACTGAAGTAGTTTAAAGGGGTCATATGATGCTGCTAAAAATAACATTATTTTGTGTATTTGGTGTAATGAAATGTGTTATGCGGTTTAAAGTAAAAAAAAAAAACATTATTTTCCACATACTGTACATTATTGTTTATCCTCTATGCCCCGCCTTTTTGAAATGCGTTGATTTTTACAAAACTCATCGGTCTGAAATCCAGTGCGTTGTGATTGGCTGAATACCTCAAGCGTGAGACGGAAATGTTACACCCCTTACCATACTGTTGATGCCGTGTCCCGGCCGGAGCGACGAGACAAAAACATTAAAGGGGTCATATGATGCGATTTCAATTTTTCCTTTCTCTTTGGAGTGTTACAAGCTCTTGGTGCATAAAGAAGATCTGTAAAGTTGCAAAGACTAAAGTCTCAAATCCAAAGAGATATTCTTTATAAAAGTTAAGAGTCAACCACGCCTACCTAAAACGGCTCGTGGAAAATAATGTGTTTTTTGAACCTTAAACCGCATAAACACATTTCATTACACCAAATACACAAAATACTGTTCTTTTTAGCAGCATCATGTGACCCCTTTAAAACCCATTACAAACGAGGCATTTGTTGCATCCAGTGGGGACATAATTACTGATTATAATGACTTATACTGTCTTTTTACGCGTTGCATTGCATCGCGCCGCGTAAAACATAAAACCCTGTCTGCATTTGTGATCAGAGAAATTACAAAAAACAAGTGCTACTCCACACTGCCTAAAACTCGCTTTTGAATCATCAGTGGCAAATCCTTTAAGTGAAAACGTACTTACGTAACATAAAACCCTGTCTGCATTTGTGATCAGAGAAATTACAAAAAACAAGTGCTACTCCACACTGCCTAAAACTCGCTTTTGAATCCTCAGTGGCAAATCCTTTAAGTGAAAACGTACTTACGTGAGTCAGAACTGCCGGCATTTTAGTCTAACGTTACTCTCCCAGGATCAGTAAACAGTCCTCCATAAAATGCGCTGCACACATCTGGATATTTGGGTTAAACTGTTCTGGAACAGTGTTGTAAATACAACTTAACCACTGATTTCTAGTCGTGTCCATTTTTGGAAGGCCAAACAAAGTTTCGCTTTCACAACGAAACACAGCGTCACACACGCTGATTGGCATGTCACCATATTCTAATTTGTTGAGAATTGGTGGGTTTTTGTTAAATGTGAGCCAAAATCATCACAATTAAAAGAACCAAAGACTTAAACTACTTCAGTCTGTATGCATTGAATTTATTTAAAACACGAGCTTCACAATTTGAGTTGAATTATTGAAATTAACTTTTCCACGACATTCTAATTTATTGAGATGCACCTGTATATAATAGAGACCGATAGATTCTGCCAGTCATCATAAACATATTTATATGAATACGTCAATGAAACGTGTAGGGGACTATGGCAGGTACAAGAACAACAGCAATATTAAATGTCCAGGAAGGCGTTTATCATTGTGCAGTTCCTTTAAATGCAAATCTACTGTTCATGCATGAATAAGTTACACACTAGTGTTTACAAACTATTAACAGTTTCTCAGGTTTTGGTGCCCTAAAGGAGTGGTTCTTAAATCCTGAAATGGCATTAGTATTACTTTTTTATCTTGTAACTTTTTTTTTTTTTTTTTGCTGATGGATATAAATGATCCTACTGTGGCTACTTAAGAAGTTGGATCAAACACTTAAGAACACAGGTGTGTTAGTTATGTTGCTGAATGAACAGATACACAAATCAGACAGTTAAATATTCAGTCACAACATTTTGAGAACCACAAACCTAAAAACTAATAAAATGTGTTATGGCTGTGTAAATTATAAGTATGCGTTACATGTTGCTTTAATATAGAAATACTTGTATGTCCTCAGTACCCAAACTCCTCGTGGATCTTCATGTGAAGTTACTGAGGAAAATTGGCAAGTCTGTGTCGGCAGACAGATGGGAGAAAAATCTCATTAAGGTGAGTAAATCAGTGTAAACAATGAATTAAATATTTTAACAATCACATTCAAACAGCTGTGAATTATGGACTCATTTCATAATGAATATGTGAATAGCTGTGAGCACAATGAGCACTTGACAGTGTTAATTCAATATTAGTCTCATCAATGTTTAATTTTTGATTTCTTTATTACTCTGTAGATCTGTCAGGAGTTTAACACCACATGGGCATGGGAGCTGGAAAAGAAGGGTTATCGAGAAATGACAGTGGAGTGTAAGACAGGAATACTGAAGGTAAGATGGGAAAATCTGTTAATGTCACACCACCGAATGAAGTTGCATTTGAGCCTCACATCCATCTGTAAAAACTGTTGTTGTATTTGTAATGTATTTCTGTTTTTATTAACCCATTGTAACTTTTCAATGTTTTGTTTTTCAAACAGTACTTGTGTGAATGCCAGTTTGATGACAATGTCAAGTTTAAAACCGCTATCAATGAAGAGGACCCAGATAAAATGCGTCTTCAGCCAATCGGCAGAGACAAAGATGGCCTCATGTACTGGTTCCAGCTTGATCAAGACCATAATGTAAGGGTCTATGTGGAAGAACAGGATGATCTGGATGGGTCATCCTGGAAGTGTATAGTAAGGTATGCATTCTGCGATCAATTCCAGTGGCATTAAAAACCACTTCTTCATAACATGGCATGCTACATAGTGTTTTCGCTGACTGTACTGGATGGCTTTTAATTTGTCAGAAAAACATGCCAAATGACAGATACATTAAAAAAACAACGTTATTTTCCATTTCAGAAATAGAGACAGCCTGGCTCAAATCCTTGGACTGTTGAAGACTCAGATTGATCCAGCACTTTTGGTAAAGAAGGATCAGGAGGAGGGCTCATCTAGTAACTGTCCGAACCCAGAGAATGAAGAAGACAAGAAAAAAGAAGGAGCTGAAGGTATCTAAAAATTAATATGAAGTATTGACTGAACACCGCTTGAGTTAGGATTGTTTTACTGATTTGTTTTATCTCTGTGTTTTTGGATTCCAGTGGAGATCAGAGATGAGAAGTCACAAAATGATTTATCTGCATCTGAAAATAAGGAAAACATCTTGGAGAAGGAAAATGCAAAGCAAGAAGATGCAGAGACCACAGATGCTTTGTTGGAAAAAGGCTTAAAGGTGAAGGAAGAGCTGCAGAAACATTCGGAGACGGCAAACGGCACTAATGGATCGATCAAAGAAGAGCCACAGGATGAGGATGAGAAAGTCAAGGACTTGTCAACACCTTCACAGAATACAGAACAGACGGAGGATGTAAAAAGAAAATCTTTAGAAGAGACTCAAAGAGCTTTGAAAAATGACCATCAAGCTAAAATCCCCCTGAAAAAGCGGGAAATGAAACTAAGGGAAGACTTTGACACCAGTAGCATGGGAGTACGAAATGCTCCTCTTGCTCCTGTGAAAGAATCACTGACATGTTTTGATGACAGCAGATCGAATGCTGAAAAGATCAACGGTCATGTCCCTCACCTTACAACATCTGAGAGTGAAACGCAAAAAGGGTCAGAGAGTCTTCAAAAAGAAAGCATAGAAGAGAATAATTCTGAGAAACTCCCTCTTGTTTTAGATGAATCCAAAGAGAGAAAAAAGAAGAGAAAGGATGACCAGACGGAAGAGAAGATGGACACAAATGAAACCAGATTGTGTGCTGAAGAGCAGATGGAAGTGGAGAAATCTGAGGAATCCTTTGCCGCCACTGCAGAAGAGAACAAGGAAAAATCTGAAACTTCTCAATCTCATGAAAAGATCCTTGGAGAAGAAAAGCCCTCACCAGTAAGTGAACAATCAGAAAAGACACCTGGTTCTGAAGACGTAACTGACCATAAAAAGTCTCCCAGTAGTGATGGTACAGATGCTACTGAAGTAAATACGTCAATACTGCCTGGAGAGTCAACAAAAGAAGAATCAATGAAAGATCTCCCAAACAAGGAGTCCACGATTGAGCTCTCAAAAGAAGAAGACACAAAAGATCTCCCAAACAAAGAATCATCAAACGATCTAACAAGAGACAAGTCAGGGAAAATTCCCCTGAAAGATGAGCCAGCAAAAGATCAGTCAACAAAACATCTCGCAGAAGAAGAGACGTCAACTAAAGACTTCTCAAAAGAAGCAGTGAAAGAATCATCAAAAGATCTCGCACGAGAAGGGTCAATAAAAGATCTTCCAAAAGAAGAGTCAATTAAAGATCTCTCAAAAGAAGAGAAATCAAAAGAAGAGTCCATGAAAAATCTTCCAAATGAACAATCCAAGAAAGATCTCGCAGAAGAAGAGTCACACAAAGTCCTCACAGAAGAAAGTCAGCAATCTCCCAAAGACTCCAATAAAGACTATGAAAAACCAGATCCAACTGCTTCCACACCGTTGGAAACTGAACTATTCCAATCATCTAAAACAGAGCCTTCTTCCTGTGAAGTAATCCAACCACATTCTGGCACAGAAAAGCCAGTGACCACTGAAGAAACTAAACTTCATCACAGCTCTGCAGACACTACCACAGAAAAAGAGCCAACTGCCATTGTCTCAAAAACTGAAAAACAGTGTATATCTGAAGGAGCCAAGCTCTCAACCAATGGAGAAAGTAAGTCCATTGCCTCTAAACCTTCTGAAGAGACAGATGGCCCTCAAGACAAAGTGCAAGAGCAGTCCGAATCCCCTAAGCCAACATCTAGTGATCTTGAAAAATCATCTGTTTCTGATTCAACAAATAAGCCAAGCACACCAAAAACCACAGAGAAAGTAGACAGTGAGGAAAAATGTGATACAGCTGAAACTGATAAAAATGAGGATTTGGAAACGTCAAAAGACAAAGATGAAAAGGGTGAAGCTGCAAACAGCTCAGAAGAGTCTGCAGTGAAAAAATCGGAAGAAGTTAAAGCTACAGAACGACCCAATGAATCCAACAGTTTGGAGAATCCTCCTTCTGATAGAGAACATGAAAAGGAACCTGATTCAAAGGAAGGGAACAAAGAGAAGCCAATGGAAGTTGATAAAATTCAGTCAACTATTGAGGAGGGATGTGAGACTACAACAGCAAGAAAGAAGGAAACTGATGTTCCTGTGGATCAGAACACAACCTCAAGCAAACAATCTAAGCAAGACGCAACTTCTGAAGAACGTGAGGCTCCCGGGGATGATCAAGAAAAAAGCACCGCTGCTGTGAAAAGCAGTAAAAGGCAAGGACGGCCTCCAAAGAAAGCTCTGGAGAGTCAGGATGAGGATAAAACAGGCGAAGAACAAGAAGAAAAGGCACAACGGGAAGGAATTCGCATGAAGATCAAAATCCCAGCTCACAGGTGGAAGGCAGAACTTCAGAGAGAAGAGGTGAGGGGAGATTCAGAGTCTGAGGTGACTGACGGCAGGTGCTTGAGGAGATCTCCGAGAATCTGCAGACCCACCACTAAAGCTGTGGAGATCCAGGACAGGAGGGTGGAACGGAAGCAGGCGACTCCGGTGTCTGAGAAAGAAAAGGATGAAAACGAAGACAAAGAGGATGAGGATTCTGTACCAAGGAAACCAAGGAAAGCTGACCCAGATGGCCAAACAAAACCAAAGGTTTGAGTACCTTTTGTTTTTTTGCTTAAATATATGTCCCTGGACCACAAAACCAGTCATAAGGGTAAATGTTTTTAAATTGAGATTTATACACCATCTGAATAAATAAGCTTTCCATTGATGTTTGGTTTGTTGGGATAGGACAATATTTGGCTGAGATACAACTATTTGAAAACCTGGAATCTGAGAGTGCAAAAAATTCTAAATATCGAGAAAATCGTCTTTAAAGTTGTCCAAATTAAGTTCTTAGTAATGCATATATCAAAGAATCAAATAATAAACAATTAGTTTTTGATATATTTATGGTACTAGGAAATTTACAAAATATTTTCATGGAACATGATCTTTACTTAATATCCTTATGATTTTTGGCATAAAAGAAAAATCTATAATTTTGACCCATACAATGTGTTTTTGGCTATTGCTACAAATATACCTGTGCTACTTAATACTGATTTTGTGGTCCAGGGTTACATATATAGCTCTTTTTTTTCTGTAAGGCAAAGCTAAATTTTTAGCAGCATGAATCCAGTCTTCAGTGTCACATGGTCCTTCAAAATCATTCACATATGCTGGTTTGGTGCTTAAGAAACATTTCTTATTATTAATAATGTTAAAAACAGTTGTGCTGCTTAATATTTTGGTGGAAAACAAGATGTTATTTTCAGGTTTCTTTTGTAGCATTATAAATGTCTTTACTGTGACTTTTGATCAATCTAATGGGTCCTTTCTGAAACAAATTACATTTAAAATTAATTTATTAAAAAAAAAACTTTTGAGTGGGAGAGATTTCGTAATTGAAGGTCATTCATAATGTAACTCCTCATTCAACAGGTGGGGAGACGTCGGAAACGACAACCATGGTCTCGCATGAGACGTAAAAGGAAAAGTTCTGACGATGACGAGGAAAGTGAGGAAGAGGAGACGGAGGAGGATGACAGCGATGAAGACTATAAGGTGGAGAAGAAGACCAGGAAAAGGAGAAACCGAAACCGAGAGCGAAACAGCTCTGACTCCTCTTCCTCTTCATCAGAAGATGATGAACCCAATGACGACCCCTGCAAACACTGTGGCCTTCCCAACCATCCCGAGCTGGTGCGACACTCTTCTGCAAAATATCTTCATCTTCTCACAGTCAGAAGTGCTGCTTTTTACCTCTCGTTTCTGTTCCCCTAGATACTCCTGTGTGATTCCTGTGACAGCGGTTACCACACTGCCTGTCTGCGGCCTCCACTCATGATCATTCCAGATGGGGAATGGTTCTGCTCCCCCTGCCAGCATGTGAGTCAATTTAGATTTCAGGATTTTCTTTACAGAAAGGCACAATTCTATTCATATGCTGATGATCTTCATTTCTCTTGCAGAAGCAACTTTGCGATAGGCTCGAAGAGCAATTGCAGAATTTGGATGCCGCCCTCAAAAAGAAAGAACGTGCAGAGCGAAGGTAAATAAAGAGTGGATTAGTTTGAACCAGTTGCAGAAAAGTTCCTAAATTAGTCCAGTTAACCTTTCAGTCTGTTAATCTATTGTGCAATGGGATGATGGCCTATGTGAGAAATTATTTGTGAAATGTCAGAAACATTGTCATTCTTCTCTCACAGGAAAGAGCGACTGGTGTATGTTGGCATCAGTGTAGAGAACATCATCACACCTTCCGTAAGTGCCCACAGTGCTTATTGAAGTTTGTGGATACTTGGTATAAATATTTAATGGCAAATATTTTTTTTTATTTAGATTTTTTACAAAAGAGCACTTAAAAGTATGAAATGTCTGCTATCACAAAGCTAAACTATTATTTTAAGATAGTAGGATAGATTTGAGGAAATTATAAAAAGACATAGAAAGTTTATTTTTACCTTTTAATCCTAATTACCATTTTTAATTATAAAGAAATATTTGGAGTATTTTCAATTCTATAATGCATGATCGTCATTTTCACTACCGTTTTACCATGATTTTTGTTTTTGAAAGAAGTGGTTTATGCTCACTAAGGCTGCATTTATTTGATCAAAATACAGTAAAAATAGCAATATTGAGAAACATTTTTAAAATTGTAAATTACTTTTTTCTATTTTAATATATTTTAAAATGCATTTTATTCCTGTGATGGTAAAGCTGAATTTTCACCAGCCATTACTCCTCTCTTTAATGTGCTGATTTGGTGCTCAAGAAACATTATTATCATCAATAAAAACAGTGGTGCTGCTTAATAATTTTGTGGAAGCTGAGATACATTTTTCAGGATTCTTTTTTCAGGAAACAGTTTGAAATCCTTTATAACATTCTAAATGTCTTTACTGTCTTTACTTTATCCTTGCTAAAGTGAAGTATTAATTTATTTTAAAAATCTTCCCTAGCCCATGGTAGTAAAACTATGTAGTTATACATATACATTTTTTGAAGGTGGAAGTGGAGGAAGAAAAAGAGGAAGAAAAGGAGCAGGTGGTGAAAGAGAAGAAAGATGTGAAGAAGAGCAAAGGTTGGGGACGGAGATCAACCAGGGCAAAGAAATACATAAGCTACAGGTATGTCATTCTACCTGCTCATTATCTTGTGCTGTTTATACATGGTCGTTAATATTCACTGTTTATTGTTACATTTTTGTCAGATTTGATGAGTTTGATGAAGCGATTGAAGATGCAATCGAGGAAGACATTAAAGAAGCAGAAGGTGGAGGTAGTGGAGCATTTTCATACATCACACTAGTGTTGATATTTGAGCTTGGATATGGAAGTTTAGACTGATCAAAGATGTCAATACACAGGAGCAGGCCGGGGAAAGGACATGGCGAACATCACAGGCCACAGAGAGAAGGACATGTCCACTATCCTACAGGAAGATGGGAAGGAGAACGGGCAGCCGCGGCGAACCAGTGCAGCTCAGAAGAAGAAGCGGCGGCGTCTCAACGATCTAGACAGCGACAGCACCGTGGACGAGGAAGAGAGTGAAGACGAGTTCCGTCTCAGCGACAGGTAATGTTAAACAGCTTTTAATTCAAGAGAATCACAGAGTCTTGTCAATGAAATAACACTTACTCTGCTCTGATTGGTCAGCAGTTCAGAGGATGAGTTTGCGGCCTCTGATAATGATGCGGAGAGTGAAGCAGAAGTCCCGTCCTATGAGGATAGTGACTTCGGGAGCGATGTTGCCCGTCCACAGAGAAGACAGCCGCCACGCAGAAGACGCAGACCGAGAGGATACTCCGAGGAGGAGGAGGAGCTGGAAACTGATGAAGAGGAGGAGATGGGTGAGACATTTAAAAAAAATTTAATGCAAAGAAATGATACTAATACAACCCTGTTATTTATTCTGACAGTTTTTTTTTATATTGTAGAAGTTTTATTCTTTTATGTAGTTTATTTTTTTTATTTAGTTGTCTAAAAATAAATAGATGCGGAGAGTGAAGCAGAAGTCCCGTCCTATGAGGATAGTGACTTCGGGAGCGATGTTGCCCGCCCACAGAGAAGACAGCCGCCACGCAGAAGACGCAGACCGAGAGGATACTCCGAGGAGGAGGAGGAGCTGGAAACTGATGAAGAGGAGGAGATGGGTGAGACATTTAAAAAAAATTATTTATTCTGACAGTTTTTTTTTATATTGTAGAAGTTTTATTCTTTTATGTAGTTTATTTTTTTTATTTAGTTGTCTAAAAATAAATATAAAAAATTTCAAATTAAGAGTCTCAGATATTTAAAAATGAAAAGCTGATATAATATTTATGTTTGAACTGCTGAGGTAGACAAATAGTGTTTTCTGAAGGTGAAGACCTTTTGTTGAAGAAATTGGATCAAAAATTTGAGTTGAATTTGTACCATACTTGTGGTTTACTGTTTGTTCACTGATATTTCTGTTTTTTTGTCTTGTTTTGTGTGTGTGTGGGGGGGGGTTTGCATGCAGCGACTGAAGGCTCTAGTGAATTCAGTGACAGTGACCTGGACGTCCGCTGTCGACGGTCCTATCGGAGTCGTAAGCAAGAGGTGAATTACTGTGAAAGCTCAGATTCTGACGGCTCACAGGCCAGCACCAACAAAGACAAAAAGAAGAAACGCAGACGTCTTTCCAGCTCCGACAGCGAAGGTCAGTGCCATTTACACCTACGAATTTTCACAGCATAAGGCTCAATCATTATATAATGTATACCATATACATTAAACATTATATAGTTCTATAAAATAGAAACATGACCGTAATGTAACCAGTATCTTATATAATATTGCTAGAATTATTCTATGGTCGACTGATAGAGGTTTTTCAATAGCTGGTAGCTATACATAGAAACCTGGATGACTGATATGTACATATTATACTTTACCATTCAAAAGTTTGGAATCAGTTTTTTTTTAATTGTTTTTTTTGTTTTAAAGAAATTATTACTTTTATTCAGCAAGGATGCATCAGTTAAAAGTAACTATAAAGGTTTGTTACAAAAGATTTCTACTTAAAGGGTTAAGCCCCGTTCACACCAAGAACGATAACTATAAAGATAGCGATATTAGCGTCCACACCAGCGAACGATATCGTCTGTTTATTCTAAGCGCACGCTCGTCTGCCACTTTAAATTCTTGAGCTCGTTACAGCAGGATGGATTCTGATTGGCTGTCAGTGATTTATCGTTCATCAGCTGAAAAAAATCGCTTTGAAAGTGATCACAGCGATATCGTTCCTCTGTATCGTTATCGTTATAGTTGTGGTGTGAACTATGCTATTCTTTAATATTGAGAACGATTTTTAGAACTATATCGTTATCTTTATCGTTATCTTTATAGTTATCATGCTTGGTGTGAACGGGTCTTTACTCCACCCCAAAATGAATTTTTTTTCATTAATTACTCACCCTCATGTTGTTCCAAACCCATAAGACCTCTGTTCATCTTCGGAACACAAATTAAGCTTTTTTTATGCATTCTGAGAGCTCTCTGACCCTCCCATAGACAGCAATGTAACAAGATCAACGTCCAGAAACCGCACCACACGGATACGTATCGTTTTTGTTTAAATCAAAAACGTAAATAAACGTAGAAAACATATCCGTGTGGTGCGGCTGACACAGAACAGCATACGCTGTTTGCGTTCAGTGGATACTCTCCAAAATGGCGCTAGGGTGACGCGGAGACAAATTGTTGAATAATTTGTGTTCTGAAGATGAACGGAGGTCTTATGGGTTTGGAACGACATGAGGGTGAGTAATTAATGACACTGGAGTAACCCTTTAAGGTACTTTTTTTTTTCTTTTGATCTTTCTATTCATCGAAGAATTCTGAACAATAAAAATCATGGTTTCCACAAAAATATTAAGCAGTATAACTGCTAAGTATAATAAATGTAAAATTGATAATAAGAAATGCTTCTTGAGTAGCAAATCAGCATGTGACACTGTAGACTGGAGTAATGGCTGATGAAAATTCTGCTTTACTATCACAGGAATAAATTATATTTAATACATTAAAATTGAAAACAGATATTTAAAATTATAATATTTCACAATATTACTGTTATTACTATATTTTTTTATCAATTTAATCCAGCCTTGGTGAGCATAAGAGACTTCTTTTAAAACTAAAAGAAAACTCTTGAGACCAAACGTTTATTATAGTATGTATTTTTACATATTTATATATATGTTGTTACATATCAAATTATTTCATGCAAAATATGGGTCAATTAATCTGTCTGGGTTATTTGTTAAACTTATGACCAAAAATGCTGTTTTAAATGCGTGTTTGATGCATAATGTTAACTGATGCATAACATAAGTGATGTTATTGTCTTTTACTCATCCAGTTAGTTTCCAGTCAGCCGAATCTGATGAAGAAGACCGGAAGCCCAAGAAGATAAGAGCAGACTCATCCGAGGAAGAATCCAGGAAACGTCGAAGACGCCTGTCCCTTAAACGCCGGAGGGAGTCGGAGGATGACGATGATGATGACGATTCAGACGAATCCGAGGAAGAGGAGCGGCCCATCCGGAAGCGTGTGAACCGCATCGACTCTGACGACAGCGAGAGTGAAGAGGAGGTGAAGAAGAGCCCGTCGGAGAAAGAGACAGAGGAGACTGTTGGCAAAGGGCCCAGTCCACTGGACTACAACTTGGTGGAGCTTCCTCCAACTAATGGACAGAGCCCAGTGAAGGGTTTGGAGGGTCTCATGCCACGACCCGGGGTGGGAGTGACGGCTAAAAACGGCAACACCCCATCAGCAGTATCCATAGCGCCGAATGGCATGGAGATTGCTGCGCCAGACGAAGATGAAGACGACCTTTTGGGCGTCACAGACCTCGTAGACTATGTATGCAACAGTGAACAGCTATAACTTGCTATTCTTTTTCTTTTTTAAATATTTTTCTCCTTTTTTTCTGACCCTCATCCTGTTTTCACCACGGATCACGTCAACAGTCCCTGTTAAATGTGCCAGGTGGCACATGAATAATAGCTGTAAATATTTTACTGAGCAAAAGTATCAAGGGAAGGAGACCGCAACCCTTCTAAGAGACTCCCCGAGATATTCCTTCTAAAGTATTGTTTTTGTTCGATAAGGGCAATCGCTGTCAAACAAACCCTCTCTGGAAACAACCTCTAAAACCTCTTTTTACACTAATCACACAGCCATGCTCACCCTCACACGTCTGACATAGAGACATCGAGTTTACATGCGTTTTGATCTCCACTGCTGTCAGTTGCACATTTCAGAGAGAAACGGAAGTGGGTGGAGTCAGTGCAATTCAGTGAGGTTTCACACAACGCTAAATATCGTCAGCGTTCGTTTCCACTCCGAGGCCATTTTTAACATTCATCTTTTATAATCTAATTGGAGTGGAAGTTGAATTTGGTTTCATAGTGTCATTTGGTGGGGGAAAAATAAATGTTTTTATTAAGTGATTTCATTATAAGCTTTTTGTTATACTATTTATTATAGAATTTGTACCTGAAATGATCACTTGGTCGTACAGCTACTGGCACCATTAGAGCAAAAGATTCCTGGAATATATATAATGGTGAAAAATTGCTCATTTACTTATGCCAACATACTAACATTGCATCCAATTCTGTTGCTTTGGACTGTTTTCTAGCACCACATTTTGATTTGAATTCAAACACTATTTACTCTGGCATCTTTTCAATGCATCAAATGCCAAATCTTCCACTCGAGGATGATAAAATGCTGAGGACTCTCACCCACATCGATGCGCAGTTTGCTTCTCTGAGGGATTCCTTGAAGTTTAGTGCTGTTCATCTTATTTTAGTGCAGATATTCCATCAAAGCGATTCTTCTTTGCCCATCATGTCCTGTTTATGTCTGTGTTTCAGTGCACTATATTCATTTTCTTTATATAAATATATGAATATAATCATTGTAATGTTTTCCTTTAGTTTTGTAAGCATACTAATGATGTGTATGATTTGTTTGTTCTTCATCAATTACAAAGCAATACATTTTTCTTACAAGACATGCAGGAAGAGATTCATCCTCTCCTGGTTTTGTCTGTTTTTAAAGACCGAAATTCATGTTGCTGGTGACATTCGAATGATTTCCGACCTTTCCGAGAGCAGCGTGATGTGAGATGCCCCTCTGAGATGTAAGAACACGTCTGAGAAATATTGTATGATCTTGCATTATCCTGGTGTGTATATCTGTAGTTTTCTGCTGTAACATATTATAAGCATTTTTAAATCATTTAAAGTATACATAGCAGTCCTTTTATGATTGCAGCTGTTTATAATTTGTTTTTGTAGGTACATTTGTACCACTCCAAAGTGGGCACGTCTGTCTCATTTTCATGCGTTTCTTTCGGGTTTTGTCTTTGAGGGTTTTCAGTCTCCGTCCTATTTCCACTGATTGCTAAAACATTTCCAAGAATGGTCTGTTCTTAGAGGAAAAAGCATTTGATGTAAAGCCCAACTGACAGTTTAATTGTTTCGCTGTCAGCATTGATTGACAAAAGCGGTGTAAAAATGTTTTGTACATTAATGTTTATGCTTGGCATGCACATATATTCTAGTCTGATTTATTTGCTCTAAGGGCATCAGATTTTGAGAATTTTTCGGGTTTTGTCTTTGAGGGTTTTCAGTCTCTGTCCTATTTCCACTGATTGCTAAAACATTTCCAAGAATGGTCTGTTCTTAGAGGAAAAAGCATTTGATGTAAAGCCCAACTGAGTTTAATTGTTTCGCTGTCAGCATTGATTGACAAAAGCGGTGTAAAAATGTTTTGTACATTAATGTTTATGCTTGGCATGCACATATATTCTAGTCTGATTTATTTGCTCTAAGGGCATCAGATTTTGAGAATAAAACTTCCCTGAATTTTTACAAATATAGTTTTAGACATGTTAAGACCAAGAGCATCATTAGGTACTAGACCACAATGCATTTCTCTCGAGGTGGTCTATTAACAGTATTGGGCTGGTGTTCAATTCTTGTGTAAATTAAAAATCAAAGGTACAGACATCCATTTGAAATCGAGGCCCAGCCTATAATGACACAGTATATATATTTGTATTTCACATAAAAATCTGTTTAATTTGATATTATGTCATGAGGGATGCCGACACCAGTGTTTGAAGATATTTGGCTGATGTAGATTGACAGCGGATGGACGGATGCCGTCTGGTTTTAGCTTTTAGAAATGTCCTTTGTGTTCGTCTGTGCCTCTTTTGGATGTTTTTGTTAACTGTATTGTAATTTCTTTCATATGATTTACTATCTTGTACATTTGTCATAATAAAAATGAAATGAAACCTGTATAATGATGGTGTAATGCTTTTATATGTGCAGTTTCTTGCAGATATCAACAGTAATAGTCCAAGAGCAAGAGAGGAGAACACTGAAGTCAAGAGGTCAGTAATGAACCGTTATAGTATATCTGACACTGCAGTTCTAAATGTGACCACATGGTGGCGACCAATTTGTGAGAATAGATAGGAACGGATATCTGTATGGTGTTTAAAACGTTTGGTTTTACATCTGGTTCTGAAAGGTTTATGCGTGCTGTATATTAATGAATATCGAATTTGAATTACCTAAATTAATTTTTGCAATGTTATTTATTTGTTGTAGTTTTACAGTAATAATCCTGCTCCCAAACTGACCAGGCTGGTCTATGGCTGGGCTGGTTTTAGAGTGGTTTTGAGCACTTTTCAGCAGGTCAGGCTGGGAAACCAGCTTAAATCCTCTAAGACCGGCAAACTAGTTTTGGCTGGGTTAAGCAGTGAGAGAAGTCTCATTTACAGCCAAGAGTTCTGCGTTCCTCTTCAATCAGTTCAAGTTTAATTCTTTTTGAGTTTCTGGCATTCACTTCAAAACTCCCTGCGGGAATTCCTGTTTGTTGGAGACTTTCCTCTAAACCGTCCTGTGTCTCTCCTTAACTTTAACCATCTGATCCCACATTGTATCTTAAGCAAGTGGCATCGCCATGCCAACACCGAAATTAGAAACAGGCAACACTTCTTAAGTTGTCACATTTCTTGGATCTTTCGCTCAGCATCGACAATTTGATCAGACCAAGAGTTTTTGTTAACATACATAACTTTTATTATGAGATCTGCTAACATGGAGACCAGCTGTGAAAGCGGATTTACTCGTTCGGATCTCATTACCGCAGAGTCTGGCCGATGCTGTCTGAGTGGAATACTAATGCAGTTCTTCTCTGCATGTTAACAGTCCTCACATATTCTAACGTTTGAGCTTGTATAGAAGAATGAGTGTTAGGGCTGGAGAACAGAGCATGAGGGTGATGGGAGGGGAACAGATATAGTGCCCCCGGGTGAGAACCCTCTGAATTAACCCAACTTGTTTTGGTGAAATACTCAGGCTTGACGATTAAATGTAAATTGATGTGCTATTTTCTTCCGTCTTTATGCGTCACTGTCTTTTCTGTCGAAGATAACCTCCGTTTTATTTTATATGTTTAATCAAGTAGGCTACAGAAATCCAGAAGTAGGCCTATAGTTCAGTTTTATGCAGTCAAGCTGCTTTATTATGGAAGCCTGTTCCCGAAAGAATGAAGTACCCTTGTCAGAACGATAGTCTATGAACGTTTCCTGTTTGCTAAGATTATGTTAAAATCATCACTTAAGATTCTTTTTAAGCTAATTTTACTTCATTAAGGTGGATCTGCTTCATATTAGTGCCGTTAACGTCTTTAGTTCCTTTTGAAGCTGACTGCTCAATATACGATGAACCACTCCCAAGTGTGTGAATTCGGAAGTGTCTTTTGTCTCCTTTTGATTCTGTTCCCCAAACGGCCTTGGAAAAAAACAGCCAGCTCCATGCTTTCAGAGTGACTTTCTTTCTTTGAACAACATGGTGTGAATATGGTTATGGGGGAGTGATTGCTCATGGTCACAGTGAGGTCATCCTGAGGTCATGTGAAGAGGGAAATGTTCAATCAAATTCACCAGAATCACAGGCCTGGAAATTCACTTTTGCCCTCTGAATGAACCACAGGAGTTCCATTTCATTAAATTTAAAAATAAAATAAATAATTAAATTTTTTTAATTTAAATATTTATATATATATTTTTACTTCATTAAGGTGGATCTACTTCATATTAGTGCCGTTAACGTCTTTAGTTCCTTTTGAAGCTGACTGCTCAATATACGATGAACCACTCCCAAGTGTGTGAATTCGGAAGTGTCTTTTGTCTCCTTTTGATTCTGTTCCCCAAACGGCCTTGGAAAAAAACAGCCAGCTCCATGCTTTCAGAGTGACTTTCTTTCTTTGAACAACATGGTGTGAATATGGTTATGGGGGAGTGATTGCTCATGGTCACAGTGAGGTCATCCTGAGGTCATGTGAAGAGGGAAATGTTCAATCAAATTCACCAGAATCACAGGCCTGGAAATTCACTTTTGCCCTCTGAATGAACCACAGGAGTTCCATTTCATTAAATTTAAAAATAAAATAAATAATTAAATTTTTTTAATTTAAATATTTATATATATATATATACACATAAAATATTTGTCTTCAAATGTATAAATAAATAAAATTAATAAATACATAAACATTTAAATGTTTTTTATATTTAGTTAATCTAGTTTGATTTCAGGTGTGTAAAGTTTTGCCAAATTATTCATTTTTTGGATCTGTATATATTTAGATATTAACTGGCTTCAGATAGTGGAGAAAATACATTTTTATTTAAACACAAAAATTAACATTTATAAAAAAAGTAAGTTTATTAGAATTTATTCGAATAATTTTGCAATAAATAACATATTAAAATAAATTGAAATGTAGTTAAATTTGAGTTAATCTAGTTTGTTCTCAGGAGGATAAAGTATTATGTAAAATGATTAATTTTTGTGATCTGTGTATATTCAGATATTAACTGGCCTCAGATAGGGTTAGGGAAAAATATGTATTTTTTATAATTTCATTAAAATTAAAAATGAAATTATAAAAATTAAAATAACATTTATTTAAAAACATGAAGTCTAAAATGTATTAAAATTCATTTTATAAAATTTTATTCAAAGAATAAAAATATAATATAGAAAATATTGATTTTAATCTAGTTTGTTCTCTGGAAAATAAAATATTATGCCAAAGATGATTCATTTTTGGATCAGTGTATATTCAGATATTGGCCGCGGATAGTAGAGAAAATTATTTTTTATTTAAATAATTAGAAATAACATTTAAACCATTATAAAATAACATTTCTTAAATGTATTCAAATTAAATTACATTGAACTAACTAAATAAAAAAGTACAGAAAATATATTGAATTAATCTATTTTGTTTTCAAGACAGAAAGAATAATGCAAACAAATTGTTTTCCAAATTAATCCAAACTCCAAATGAAATGGCATTAGATTAGTGTAAAACTGTAAACACATTCGACCACAGAACCACTCTTTGAGCAAGTATTTTGCATAAAACTCTCATAAATAAAGACACAGTGACATATATGGATTATTCTCTTCCTGCTTCCATTTTGATTATGGTGTTTTTTCTATATGAAGTTTAATTTTGTGAGGGCAAAGAGCCTCTTTGCACAAAGCGGCATCCCTGCGGACCTGCTGAATGCATGGTGAATGAGCAGAATCTCTGCTAATGGCTTGAATGGTTGCTGGGTGATAAGCCATTGATGCCGGCAGACACACTGAGTTTGCTCATCACAGTGGGTCTCTAAAAGCCCCTCAGCTCACAGAGACGCTGGAAAACCCTTCCTTCTGTCATCCTGACACTTTTATCTTATGTCAGCGATAGATTATAGCCCACTTTTTTTTGTCTAATGGTGAATAAAATGGTGTTTTAAAATACATTTAAAAAGAAAACATTTATAGATTTTTTTTCTTTCTCCTAGACAGTAATGCGACTGAATGGAGAACAAACTGAGATTTTTTTCTTCTGAGTAAAGACCCTAGTAGGTCTCACACATCTATCATGTAGACTTTCAGACGAATAGAACCACATACTAGCTCTCTTACTGTATATCAATAGTTTCTACAATCATTTCTTGTAGCTTACCAGCAATACCAAGGTTTTGGCATTTGATTAGATCCTGAAAAATTGTATTTTGTTCAATTTAACATTTTGAAAGAATTTTTGAAGATTTTTAGAACAAATTGTAGAGACTCAGGAACTCTGAGAATTTTTTCTAAAATAAAATATTTGTATTAAAATGTATTAAGGCAAATATAAATAAATAGAAAATTATTAATTAATTAAAATAACATTTATGAAATAAAATATTTGTATTTATTTAAATAAAATGTATAAATACATTTGTATTTAAATAAATAAATACATTAATGAATTAAAGAAAATAGTAATTAATAAATTAATTTTGGAACAAAGTGTAGAGATGCAGGATCTTCAAGAAATATATTTTGTTAATTTAATAGTTAAATAAAATTAAATGAAATCACCATATATGAAATAAAATATTTGTATGAAATATTACATATTTAAATAAATAAATAAATACATTTTGTAACTAAGTGCAGAGATGCAGGATCTCCCCAAAACATTTTTTGAATTAAATGTATAGTTAAATAAATAAAATAAAATAAAATGTATGAAATAAAATGTGTAATAAATAAATAAATACAAGTAGTAATATTTAGGTAATCTAGTTTCTTGATCTAGAGAATCAAGAGAATAAGTTATCATGCAAAAAAAAGGAAATAGATCTTGATAAAATAAGTTGTTGCTCAACATAAAAGCATCTGCTAAATGCTCAAATGCCATTTGTGTGTTTTTTGATCTCTTGGGGGATTTTAGATCTCCAGATATATGCACACACTTACATTTTCTGCAGTAATTTATTCATAAAATCTTCTTTAAAAATATTTATAACAATAATTTAGAAATTAAAGATGCCCTTTATAGTTTTTCACTGGCTCTTTAAAGTTTATGGGTGAACGTCAAGAGAAAATGTGCATGAAACAAGTGATATCAGATGCTTTGAGTGAGTTCAGCTGTTTCATATGGACTGTAAAACCAATACCTTCAGGCGCTGTGGCTCTATTCTACTCCATCCAAACTCTCAGACTCAACAAGTTCTGGGAACCCAGTGCACTCACCCAACTGCCCTGCTTCCCCAAAATCTACCAGTCTTCAAAACTGTAAGCAGAAAGGCTGAAAGCGTCTTTTGTGCTTCATCTCTTTTGTCTGCCGGGAAGAGAGAGGGAACGGGTGGGTGATGGGGAAGAGGGGGGTTACTGGTCTGGAAGTGTTTGGTCCAAATTACACATTCAAGTCGAGCACTGTTTATGATTACTCTCACAGAGACCGGACAAAAGCAGAGACATTCCAAGAGCCCAGTGAAGAGGACCAACTTATTCTGAGAAAGGACAGAGACCTAGGCCTACATCATAACCTCATTCACATGAACTCAGGCCTGGAGATACATGTAAAACCTTCATATGCCTCTGGGTCAACGAGCAATCAAATAAAAATGACACCATAAAATGGATAGTTTCAGGCCTGGATGCTGATTGGTCAATTCAACACTCCAGACCAGCTATAATTCACAATATCGCAAACGCGGCGAAAACAACTACACTACCATTCAAAAAGATTTCCTTTATATAGAAATGAATGCTTTTATTCATCGAACGTGTTGCAAAATATATACGTTTCAAATAAACGCTGTTCTTATGAACTTTTTTGTTTTAAAAAATCCACAAAAATATGAAGCTGTTTTCAACTGCGATAATAATACAAATACGATTATTAAGCACCACCGAATCAGCATATTAGAATGATTTCTGAAGGATCATGTGACACTGAAGACTGGAGTAATTAAGCTGAAAATTCAGCTTCGCATCACAGGAGTATTTTACATTTTAAAAATATTAAAATAGAATTTACAGTATTACTGTTTTTACTGTATTTTTGATTAAATAAATGCAGCCTGCATTAAAATCTTACTTTTATATAAAATAAAATATTTGATGAAAAACGTGTCCAAAATATTTTATAGGCTGTTTGTCACCCTATATTTATAGTTATTGTGCAATAAAATAAAATATTTTAAGGCAATTAGGTTTAAAATATTAGATGCTATTTTATTTATATTTGTAGCCTTGATGTTATATTTGCTGCACTGTGCAATCCAATAGAATAAAATACAGAGGTGTAAACTATTGGAGTAAATGTAATTAGTTACTGTATTTGAGTATCTTTTTGAGTACTTTGTAGTTGTACTGAGTATCAAAGATATTAGCAACTTTTACTCTTTACTCCACTACATTTGAAATGAGTGTTGCCGTTACACATTACATTTCGCATGGACCTAGCTTTTTCTGCAGCACTTTATTTCTGCTACAAAAGACGTGATATTGCCTATTACAGGTCACTGAAAGTACTGCATCTTGTGCGTTTTGCCCTTACTCACCCAAACTTTTCAACAAGGCTACTTTATGTGACTTAGCAAGTATTTGTGAATCAGAGGTGTTTTATAAATGAGATGAGGACATGACTGCAGCCGGCAATGAGGCCCAAACCAACACATCCACTGCAAGAAGGCTTCGGCTTTTTAATTTTACTTCACATTATTTTATTTATAGCTTTTTAATTTTACTTCACATTATTTTATTTATTCATTATACTGAAGAGAACTTTTGGAAAGATATATATTTTTTTTTTGTAATTTTGAGGTGTTCAGTTTTCTTTTGGTTTTAGAAAATAAACGTGATTGCTCTCCTCACAAATCAACTCTTTCCTGTTTGTGTTTCATGCTCTCTGTGCCTTGCCCTGGACTTTTATGTCACTTCCTGTCTCCCGTGGTGTTTGTAGTCAGTTTGTAGTCCGTTTGTTCATTGGTTCCCCTTAATTAGTCTCCCCAGGTGTGTATTATCTTGTTAAGCTTGTTAGCCCCCTGTGTATATATAGCCCTAGTTTTTCTTTAGTTTTTTGTGATATATAATGGTTGTCTTTTTGCCAGTCGTTCTGGTTTTTTTTTGTTACCTTTGGTTTATTGTTTGTTCTAGCTTTTCCATTAAATACCTGCACATAGATCCTTGCCTCTGCCCGTTTTCCCCAGCTTCTCTCCACAACGATACAGTTTTTCACTGGCATGTCTCCTTGACTAGTGCATCTTTGAGCCTATATTTAGTGTAAGTCAAATACTTGGGTACAGTTAAAATCAGATACTCTAAGACTTTTACTCAAGTTGTTTTGGAATTGGTGACTTGTAACGTTAGTGGAGTCATTTTCACTGTAAGGTATCTGTACTTTTACTCAAGTATGGTTCTTAGGTAATCTTAACACCTCTGATAAAATATGTCCAAAATATTTGGTCACCTGGTGTGACAAACCATTTAATTGGTATAAATCACTCCAAATGTAAATGACACAGACTGTTTGTGGGGCCTGTGGGAGAGAGGTGTGTGTGTGTGAGAGAAAGAACGCTCACCCCACAGGAAGTCCATCACGAGTGTCATCTGAAGAGTCCAAAGACCTGCCGAGAGCGTTATTCCTCGCCCTCCAAATCACAGAACGAGTTCGTTCTCAACCATTGAAACCGTCTCTCAGGATTAAATGTCAAACACGACGTGAATTCTGAACGCTTAGCGTTGGATGTCACAGAAACACGACTGGGGTTCACCTCATGTGTGCCCTCAAAGAAAGCTCGGAAAGTTGACAGCATTAGTACAAAATTAGCATCGGAGTGACGTTAATTAGCCTTTGAAACCTTTTTTTAATTGGTATATTCTAACAGTTTCATTTATTTTAATGTGAGAATCAAGCAAGAACCCTCCTGTCATTCCATCATGTACTGTACCACCACTGGGCCCCCCTTTGAAGTGTCTTGAGCATCTCCTATTTGGAGTTAGCAAGCAACAGCTCTGATAAAATATGTCCAAAATATTTTGTCACCTGGTGTGACAAACCATTTAATTGGTATAAATCACTCCAAATGTAAATGACACAGACTGTTTGTGGGGCCTGTGGGAGAGAGGTGTGTGTGTGAGAGAAAGAACGCTCACCCCACAGGAAGTCCATCACGAGTGTCATCTGAAGAGTCCAAAGACCTGCCGAGAGCGTTATTCCTCGCCCTCCAAATCACAGAACGAGTTCGTTCTCAACCATTGAAACCGTCTCTCAGGATTAAATGTCAAACACGACGTGAGTTCTGAACGCTTAGCGTTGGATGTCACAGAAACACGACTGGGGTTCACCTCATGTGTGCCCTCAAAGAAAGCTCGGAAAGTTGACAGCATTTGTACAAAATTAGCATCGGAGTGACGTTAATTAGCCTTTGAAACCTTTTTTTAATTGGTATATTCTAACAGTTTCATTTATTTTAATGTGAGAATCAAGCAAGAACCCTCCTGTCATTCCATCATGTACTGTACCACCCCTGGGCCCCCCTTTGAAGTGTCTTGAGCATCTCCTATTTGGAGTTAGCAAGCTCCTCCCCTTCTGAGATCCTGAGCATCAGGAGCTTCTTACTGGTGGAAGGTTATTAAATTCCCAGCACAGACTGGCTAACTCTGATCACTCAGGGCATCTCTCAGCACAAGAGCTCACTGGAAGCAGGTAAGCAGCTCTTCTCTCAGATACTTGTAGCTATGGAGCTTTTTTGGGGGGGGGGGCTGAGCACCATTAACCTGGAAATCAGATTTAATTATTATAAATGACAGTATTTGCATTCTGTAGAATTTAAATACACAGAGATTTATGTGGTTCACACTGAATTGGTGAACGTCAGCTACAAGAGCAAATAACTGTAGGTCTTATAAATTCATTTGTCATTTGTAGAGTAAAAAACTTAAATTGACATGAAATTTAGTTGCCTATAAAATGCAATATATAATAATAAAAAAGCTTTCATTTGCATAATATAATTGTATATCATATATATTTAAAAAGTGTGTATGAATATATTTCTTTTTTTAGTTTTTAGTAATAAAAATTCATTTACATAATTTTAACTAGATTACCTAATCATTTCAAAAAAAAATTTATTTCAGTAATTGAATTGCATGTTATATAGTTTAAATTATAAATATATTTATTTCAGTAATAAAAAAACCTGCCATTTACGTGGAATGTCCTTGCATTTATCATATATTTTAAAATATGCTTCGAATTATTTATGCTTATTAATGAAGTTATTTCCAATGAATTACACTACTGCATTTTTTTTAGGTTGCATTTTGGTTTTCCATAATTTTTTGCTGTCTTTCCCTTTAAATTTTAACTCAAGGATTTGTGATTTAGATCAGTGGATGTGCTAGATAGAGTTTGTCTCATTTTTTTCTTCTTCTTGTGTAGAGTCTCTTTTGGGTCACCGGTTCAGCCCAGCTAGTTTGATCGGAGTGTGTTGAGTGACACCGCCAGCATGACCAAAAGCACCGGGGAGAAGCCGCGGTCGCGCAATCGCGTGCAGCAGATCCGAGAGGGAATTCACCTGCGTTCCCTAAAGGCGAGGAAGAAAGTGGAGGACATCACTAAAGATGACGTAAAGAGCTTTCTGAGAAGAAATGCTTTTGTGCTCCTCACCGTTGGAGCTGTGGTCTTTGGTCAGTGCACCTGGTTTAGTGAAATTATTTTTCAGTTTAAGTTTTCAAGTATGAAAGTTTACTCTAACCATCTAAAGAAGTAATCTAACCTGAAGTTAGTGTCTTGGTCAAGGACACAAATCTACTGTACAACCTACCACCAGTTTGCTGTAAAGCCAAACATTATTTTGACAATGGATGCCTTTTGATTTATGACAGAAAAGAGTTTTCAACAGATCTGTGCATCTGAAATGCTTATTTTTTTCCAGGTATCTTGCTGGGTTTTGCTTTGAGGCCATATAAAATGTCATACAGAGAAGTGAAGTATTTCTCCTTTCCTGGTGAGCTATTGATGCGTATGCTGCAGATGCTAGTGCTTCCCCTTCTTGTCTCAAGTTTGATTACAGGTACGATATTTTATTGTTTTGATAATTTTTTTTTTTTTTGCCAAAAATGTGTCATGCAACAGTTTGACTGCAGATTTTAAATTAAATATGTTACAGCAATCTACAGCAATAACTGGGAACTTAAGTCATAAGTCTTAACTGAAAATCTGAACTCTTTATGGAAAGTATAGAAGAAAAAGGGGTGGAGCAACTGGCACAGGCCAAATGATTAAGAGGGTCCAATGAAATCCTCAGTAGTCTAGCTGCTCTTTGAGTTTGGGCTAATGGGATCCATCTATAAAAATGTTGTCCCAGGCCCTGAGAATTTAATTGACATGCTTATAATGAAAAAGCAAAACAGTGATGTGAGGACATAGTAAAATCAAGTCATTAATAGAATGAGAATGACATGAATTTGAAATTGAGGGAGTGGCTGGACTTTTAAACTAATTCTATAGGATGTGAAAGAGAAAAGGGATAAAAAGAAGCATGGAAAGGAAGGAAATTAGTGGCCAATTAATGACACAAAGCAGCTCAAGATTTAAAAGGCCTCAGAATTCAATGCATAAAGTCAATGTATGGGTATAAGACAATTAGTGACACAGAAAGACTTAACTCTTTCCCCGCCATTGATGAGTTATCTCGTCTTTTACAAGAAAACGCTTCCCCGCCAAAGACGAGTTTTTACGGCTTTTCGTGTTTTCACTGTTATACGCTCGGGGGCGCTATTACGCATCTTCTGAACGAGTACAAAACCTCCCGAACAAAATCACACCTGAACAGAACCGAGAAACTTGCGATCTCTTATGTAAACATGCATATGAAAAATAATGCGATCATCAGCAATAGACAGCATATAAATGAAAACTGCATAATGTTACAGAGTAAAATGTTGATCCAGGAAGTGGTATATGTCTCTGCAAGCTTTGGAGGTATTGATGGAAGCCATTAACTGGATTTATGCTTTGATAATCGTACTGAATATTATCCCGATGTAGTTTTTGATAAAAATTAGATTTTTCTCACCTTTTTGTTCAAATATTGCATTTTTTATGAAACCTAACTATATTCAAGCTAGAATATTCTACATTAAGCTAGAATAAAACAGATTTTTTTTGTTTAAAAGTAGAGGCTCTGATCTTTATTTTGGTGTATTGCATATTCAAATATTCATACAGCAAAATATACTGGAGGCCATCAAATTTGAATGAAAACCATCAAAATTGCTGGCGGTGGCTGGCTACTTTTTTCAAAAATGTTGGAGGGAAAAGAGTTAACATGGAGCTGATAGAACAGCAATGAAGTCTCCTTGTTTTTTTTGTTCAGATCTCATCAAACACTCAAAAGTAGTAGCAACTTTCACGGAAACAGGTGTTACAGCTGTGCCTCTGTGAAGCAAAGCATTACGCTGGGCACCATTTTCTGGTTTGTAGACAGTGACCTCTTTGTGCTTCTATTAAAAGTGGCAGTGAGAATGAGGCAGAGGTTGTAAAGATGAGTTCAGTCCCTCCTACCCCTGCTGCTTCACTTCATACACATAAAGGAATGAGAGAACTTCCTTCAGACTCAAACTCTGATTGGTTAGTAATAATAATAATGAATTAAATTAAATATAAAATGAATAACAAAATAATTATTGTTATTATTTGTTGGGCATTTTATTCTGTAATTGTGGCACACTTGGGTGTGAGAGGGGGCTGTTTTGTTTATTCACTTCTTTGTAACTGCACAACATGAGTCATTTCTTTAGTCTGATACAAGTGCATTGGGAGACTGTTTGCTGTTGCTGTGGAGACATAGAGAGGGTGGCATGACCGCTGAAACACGGGCAGGTGGAGGAATTTCCCAGGCCTGTCCGAGAGAAAGAGAGATGAACGAATGCTGATCAAGAGAGAGAAGTATGGTCGAGAGAGACAGAGTATGAACAGAGGGATAAGGAAGGAAATTAGTGGCCAATTAATGACACAAAGCAGCTCAAGATTTAAAAGGCCTCAGAATTCAATGCATAAAGTCAATGTATGGGTATAAGACAATTAGTGACACAGAAAGACTTAACTCTTTCCCCGCCATTGATGAGTTATCTAGTCTTTTACAAGAAAACGCTTCCCCGCCAAAGACGAGTTTTTACGGCTTTTCGTGTTTTCACTGTTATACGCTCGGGGGCGCTATTACGCATCTTCTGAACGAGTACAAAACCTCCCGAACAAAATCACACCTGAACAGAACCGAGAAACTTGCGATCTCTTATGTAAACATGCATATGAAAAATAATGCGATCATCAGCAATAGACAGCATATAAATGAAAACTGCATAATGTTACAGAGTAAAATGTTGATCCAGGAAGTGGTATATGTCTCTGCAAGCTTTGGAGGTATTGATGGAAGCCATTAACTGGATTTATGCTTTGATAATCGTACTGAATATTATCCCGATGTAGTTTTTGATAAAAATTAGATTTTTCTCACCTTTTTGTTCAAATATTGCATTTTTTATGAAACCTAACTATATTCAAGCTAGAATATTCTACATTAAGCTAGAATAAAACAGATTTTTTTTGTTTAAAAGTAGAGGCTCTGATCTTTATTTTGGTGTATTGCATATTCAAATATTCATACAGCAAAATATACTGGAGGCCATCAAATTTGAATGAAAACCATCAAAATTGCTGGCGGTGGCTGGCTACTTTTTTCAAAAATGTTGGAGGGAAAAGAGTTAACATGGAGCTGATAGAACAGCAATGAAGTCTCCTTGTTTTTTTTGTTCAGATCTCATCAAACACTCAAAAGTAGTAGCAACTTTCACGGAAACAGGTGTTACAGCTGTGCCTCTGTGAAGCAAAGCATTACGCTGGGCACCATTTTCTGGTTTGTAGACAGTGACCTCTTTGTGCTTCTATTAAAAGTGGCAGTGAGAATGAGGCAGAGGTTGTAAAGATGAGTTCAGTCCCTCCTACTGCTGCTTCACTTCATACACATAAAGGAATGAGAGAACTTCCTTCAGACTCAAACTCTGATTGGTTAGTAATAATAATAATGAATTAAATTAAATATAAAATAAAATGAATAACAAAATAATTATTATTGTTATTATTTGTTGGGCATTTTATTCTGTAATTGTGGCACACTTGGGTGTGAGAGGGGGCTGTTTTGTTTATTCACTTCTTTGTAACTGCACAACATGAGTCATTTCTTTAGTCTGATACAAGTGCATTGGGAGACTGTTTGCTGTTAGTGGCAGTGAGAATGAGGCAGAGGTTGTAAAGATGAGTTCAGTCCCTCCTACCCCTGCTGCTTCACTTCATACACATAAAGGAATGAGAGAACTTCCTTCAGACTCAAACTCTGATTGGTTAGTAATAATAATAATGAATTAAATTAAATATAAAATGAATAACAAAATAATTATTGTTATTATTTGTTGGGCATTTTATTCTGTAATTGTGGCACACTTGGGTGTGAGAGGGGGCTGTTTTGTTTATTCACTTCTTTGTAACTGCACAACATGAGTCATTTCTTTAGTCTGATACAAGTGCATTGGGAGACTGTTTGCTGTTGCTGTGGAGACATAGAGAGGGTGGCATGACCGCTGAAACACGGGCAGGTGGAGGAATTTCCCAGGCCTGTCCGAGAGTGAAAGAGATGAACGAATGCAGATCAAGAGAGTGAGAGAGTATGGTTGAGAGAGATGGAGTATGAACAGAGGAAATTGTGACGTGAGAGGCTGAACTTTAAAAGATGCTGAAGTTTGGGCCCCCAGGAGGACGAGAGGACCAAACAATGGCTGCTTTCTCTTTCTGCTCTGGGGATCAGGGCTGCAGAAAGGCCCCTGACTTGTTCCAAATTCAAACCTTAATTTGTTTTGGCAAGTCAAAGTCTTTTTGCTCCATTGACTTCTACAATGATTGCAATTAATCCTAAGAGACTTTTAAAGTCAAGCGATATAGTACTTTTCAGCTAAGTGAAGATTAAGTCTTGAATCTTTTGTCTTTCACAACCACCACATATCTTCATGTCTGTACAAATTCTGGTGAGATTTTTGCATTTAAGTATTGGTACAAGACCTGGGCTGCGTTTCCCAAAAGCATTGAGTACATCGTAGACCCATTGAAACCAATGGAGCTACGATCAACTTACGATGCTTTTGGGGGAAACAGCCCCCTGGTCTTCTCAGCAATGATGGTATGTGTAACCAAGTGTTTATTCAAATATGATTTGGATTCATTCTCATAGAAAAAAATGCTAAATTCTAATTCTTTCGGTCTAGGCATGGCGGCATTGGACAGTCGCGCCTCTGGAAAGATGGGCATGCGTGCAGTCATATACTATATGACCACCACTTTCATCGCAGTGTTCATCGGCATCATTATGGTTCTGATTATCCACCCGGGTAAAGGCTCAAAGGATGAATTCACTAAACAGCAGAAAATCGAGCAGGTCAGCCCAGCCGATGCCTTCCTCGACCTCATCAGGTAATGGACAGGTGTAGTCCATTGGTTTCTCCGAAATACTGATATGAACCAGTGACTTTATTCATTATATAAACTCTTTTGCAGAAACATGTTTCCTCCTAATCTGGTTCAGGCCTGCACTCAACAGGTGAGAATGTTTTTCACATGATCCTATTATTCAAAATTGTTTTTTTTTTAAATACCATCTTAGATAATCATAAAGATTTATTAAATAATATCTCTCTCTGTTGCACACATTATGAAAGCAATGGTAAAAAAAAAAGAACAACATTTTCTTGGCTAAAATCTTCATTACTAAAATAAAATAAAAATTTAATTCTTAAAAAGGTATTCAAAAAGGTATTTCCCTGTAACACAATGTTGTTTCTTTGCAAAAAAACAAGATAAAATACAATAAAATAAAAATATTTCAAAAAGAGAAAAAGAAAAAAAAACACATTTATTGAATTTTATATAAAATATTGTATACATTTTATTTTCATGTAACTAAATTGTGACAAAAAAAGCTTTAAAAGTAAATGTACTCTCCAACAGATGTGAATTATTTTTTTATTTTTCTGAGGGTAAAGATTTACAAAAATGTGAGGTGCATCATAGAAGAAGTTAAAGTTTGTTTTATTGGGTTATTCCTTAATTATTAACCACTTAATTGCCAATTATTAATTGAAAAAAAAAATTTGAATAAAGACTCTCATAGAGTAGAATATATGTGCATGGCGTAGAATAAGCGGTCATAGATATATAATATTTAGATATATATGTCATAGGAGTGAGCGTGACATTTTATCAAGTGTTTCCTAAATTGATTTAGCTTTTAATTCTGCTATTAACGAATAAAATGAAAAAATACTATATTGAAACACATTTTCCTGAAATGTATCATGGTTTCCTCTAAAATATTAAGCCGAACAACTGTTTTCAACATTGATAATAATAAGAAATAATTCTTGACCAGCCAGTCAGCATATGTAACCCTGGAGCACAAAACCAGTCTTAAGTCGCTGGGGTATATTTGCAGCACTAGCCAACAATACATTGTACGGGTCAAAATTATTGATTTTTCTTTTATGCCAAAAATCATTGGGATATTAAGTAGAGATCATGTTCCATGAAGATATTTAGTAAATTTCCTAACGTAAATATATCAAAACTTAATTTTTGATTAGTAATATGCTTTGCAAAGAACTTCATTTGGACAACTTAAAAGGTGATTTTCTAAATATTTAGATTTTTTTGCACTCTCAGCTTCCAGATTTTCACATAGTTGTATCTCGGACAAATATTGTCCTATCCTAACAAACCATACTCTAATGGAAAGTTTATTTATTCCGAAAAAAATGGACCCTTATGACTGGTTTTGTTGTCCAGAGTCACATATTATGATGATTTCTTAAGGGTCATGTGACACTGTAAATTGAAGTAATTATGCTGAAAATTCAGCTTTACCATCACAGGAATAAATTAAATTTCAACACATATTCAAATAGAAAATGGTTGTTTAACTGTAACATTATTCCACGATATTACTGTTTTTACTGTATTTTTATCAGATAAATTCAACCTTGGTGAGTTTCTTTCATTAACATTAAAAAATCTTACAGACTTTAAACTTTTGAATGATAGTGTATATGTAAATATTAACCATTATCATTTCAAAACCATAATAATACATTTAGTTTTTTGAATTTATTGGTATTTATGTATTAGGATTTCATTCATGAGGATGACTTGTTTTGTTTCGAATAACAACAATCATCCTCAAGAAGAATAACTAGATTTTCGTTGCTTGTCATGTAAGTACCTTACAAAAAGACATTCATTATAATTCACCACAGAAACGTCTCGTCATAATTTCACCTTACTATAAAAATAGATGAATTTCCTGTTTGTCTGAACAGAAATGTGCCCTGTGCATGTGTAGCTCATTGACATTTTGGGAACCGTTATTAAGAAGTGCTGCTTCTGAATCTGAATCAGTTTCTTTTCCACTCTTTGGTAGTCTGGTTTAAAATAAAACCGAAATAACAAACTTGAATGAATGTAAATGTATCTTTAAACACCATACCCTATTCCCAGGTATGCACCTATTGGTATCCTCTTTCTGATTGCAATTTTATATAAAATATTGTATACATTTTATTTTCATGTAACTAAATTGTGACAAAAAAAGCTTTAAAAGTAAATGTACTCTCCAACAGATGTGAATTATTTTTTTATTTTTCTGAGGGTAAAGATTTACAAAAATGTGAGGTGCATCATAGAAGAAGTTAAAGTTTGTTTTATTGGGTTATTCCTTAATTATTAACCACTTAATTGCCAATTATTAATTGAAAAAAAAATTTGAATAAAGACTCTCATAGAGTAGAATATATGTGCATAGCGTAGAATAAGCGGTCATAGATATATAATATTTAGATATATATGTCATAGATGCTCCAGGTTATGAAGTTCATGAGCAGTTTGGGGGGAAATTCTAATGTTTCCCTGTTCAGCAGGAAGTCAATTTATCATTAGATTTGATAAGACTTGTTGATATCTCAAAGGACAAAAACTTAAAATGTATCACTCTTGGATCCAAAATGTTTTTCTGGGAGGCCTTGAATTTATAATTATACCACTACTGTTCACAAGTCTTGACAACGTTTCATTTCTCCTCCTGCTGGCCCAAGCTAGTTAACTTAGCGTGTAAGGAATAGACATTTTCCATTTAGCATTTTGAGAGTCTGGCTTGAGTTCGACCCACAGCTGTGTTTGGACCAGCTGAGAGCTTTGGCAGAGCTGTAATGGTGCCACAGTCAGATATAATGGGACAGAAATGGCAAGATAATGACACTGAAGAGCCTGACAGTGGCTCACAGTCTGTCCGGACACACTCCGCAGGGACACCCTGCAGTCAACCAGATTTAAAAAAAATAAAAAACATATTTCACAAATATTGAAAAGAGTCTTTCTGTAGAAGTATTCTAGCAATCCAAATCGATCAGATTCTTGCTCATTTTTAAAACTACTTCTCTTCTTCCTCCTGTAGTTTAAGACACAATATAGCAAGAGGGTCATTCACGTGAAGATGATCGTAAACGATTCGATATTCAACCTAACTAACGCCACCCAGGAGATTGCCCAAGAGGAAGTGATCCCTCTCCCGGGCACCACCAGCGGGGTTAATGCCCTCGGGCTGGTGGTGTTTTCAATGTGCTTCGGCTTGATCATTGGGAATATGAAGGAACAGGGACAGGCTCTCAGAGACTTCTTCGACTCCCTCAACGAGGCCATCATGCGACTTGTTGCTATTATTATGTGGTGAGTGATTCCAGACACACAAACGGTGTTTAAAAAGTAAACTAGATTAAAAACTGTGTTGATGTAGCCTAAGGAGGTTTTTCCAATATCCGTTCCTTAATTTAAACTTATGAATTTACAATAAACTTAGAGTGAGCGTGACATTTTATCAAGTGTTTCCTAAATTGATTTAGCTTTTAATTCTGCTATTAACGAATAAAATGAAAAAATACTATATTGAAACACATTTTCCTGAAATGTATCATGGTTTCCTCTAAAATATTAAGCCGAACAACTGTTTTCAACATTGATAATAATAAGAAATAATTCTTGACCAGCCAGTCAGCATATGTAACCCTGGAGCACAAAACCAGTCTTAAGTCGCTGGGGTATATTTGCAGCACTAGCCAACAATACATTGTACGGGTCAAAATTATTGATTTTTCTTTTATGCCAAAAATCATTGGGATATTAAGTAGAGATCATGTTCCATGAAGATATTTAGTAAATTTCCTAACGTAAATATATCAAAACTTAATTTTTGATTAGTAATATGCTTTGCAAAGAACTTCATTTGGACAACTTAAAAGGTGATTTTCTAAATATTTAGATTTTTTTGCACTCTCAGCTTCCAGATTTTCACATAGTTGTATCTCGGACAAATATTGTCCTATCCTAACAAACCATACTCTAATGGAAAGTTTATTTATTCCGAAAAAAATGGACCCTTATGACTGGTTTTGTGGTCCAGAGTCACATATTATGATGATTTCTTAAGGGTCATGTGACACTGTAAATTGAAGTAATTATGCTGAAAATTCAGCTTTACCATCACAGGAATAAATTAAATTTCAACACATATTCAAATAGAAAATGGTTGTTTAACTGTAACATTATTCCACGATATTACTGTTTTTACTGTATTTTTATCAGATAAATTCAACCTTGGTGAGTTTCTTTCATTAACATTAAAAAATCTTACAGACTTTAAACTTTTGAATGATAGTGTATATGTAAATATTAACCATTATCATTTCAAAACCATAATAATACATTTTTTTTTTTAGAATTTATTGGTATTTATGTATTGGGATTTCATTCATGAGGATGACTTGTTTTGTTTCGAATAACAACAATCATCCTCAAGAAGAATAACTAGATTTTCGTTGCTTGTCATGTAGAAACGTAATTAGGTTGGCCAAATTAATCATTCCAGATAGATCCCCACAAGTTACACGGCTAAAAGAGCCTCTTTTTAAACTAGGATGAAAACTGAGATGAAAGTAGGAAACTTTTTTTTTTTTACGATAAACAAGTATCGCTGATCGCAATAAATCGATTCTTCATTTCCTCTTTTATTCCCTTTTCTTTTGCACTTACAGTGATCGACTTCGCACAACAACTAACGTCCTGGGAGATTCTATAGGAGCTGGAATCATAGAGTTCCTGTCCAAAGATGAGCTTCAGAACGCCGATGTGGAGTTGGGGAGCTCAGTGCTGGAGGAGAATGAAGTGAAGAAACCTTATCAGATGATCCCTCAGGAGAACGAATATGAGAATGAGAAACCGCCAGACAGTGAGACCAAGATGTAGAGGATGCATAATCAACCCCCAACCAAGGATTTTTTGTGTGTTTGCGTTTGTATATGTACAGTGGCCCTAAAAATATATGAACACTTAAGATGCACTTAAAAATATAAGTTCATTGCTTTTAATGAGAAAATATCAAACTAAATGGCATTTATTTCAAAGAAATATAGTATAAGCATGGTATTTAAGCATTTGGACACTTTCTGGTTGTCAAACTTGGAATAATGTTCATAATTATGGATATGAACTACACTTAACTTCATGCATTCACAAAAATGACTAAAAAGTGAAGTCAGTTTTGAGAAAAGCCCCAAGTTGCTGCTTGGTTTGATATTTAGCCATCTATGCAATAAAATTCATAGGTTTTTTAAGTGTTGATTAAGTGTCCAAATATTTTAGGGGGCATTGTATATGTATATATTTAGTTTTGCTTTTGAATATTTCATTTTCAAACTTCTTTTGACCTTTTACTGTAATTTGGTTCTTGTGCTTTTGTCTCCTGTCTGCAGGTCATACCTATTGTTAAATTGATTTGGCAGGAGAGTTTTACTTTGACAAAAATATATAATAATTTTTTGTATTGCTTTTTCATTATTTTAATAATTAGCTGAAATGTGAATCTATGTGGAGGGCATTGGTATGTTGGTGACCAGCATTTGTTACATGCGCTATAATACAAGCAGCAAGATTTAAACCTTAAGAGTGTCAAAATGAACAGGGTCATTGTACACAGAACTGATTTTTAAGCAGAAATGAATGTCAGTAAATTATTCATCTGATGAACAGACAGAAGTGCATTACACTTTGTTTAATGAACAAGTTGAGTATGACATGGGCAGGATTCCAAGATGGGCTCCGTGTATAAAGTGATCATCTAAAAATGGAGTATAAAATATGTCAAACTGTAAATATCAAGAGAAAATTATGTTTAGCTTTGACAGCTGCTTTACAGATCTTTATGTATGAGAAGACTGAGTGTTTCAGCAGCTATTACAGCAGATATTTGAGTTTTCTCAGCAGCTCCGCACAACTAATCCTAACTGAACACACACATACTTATGCGTTTATGAGATTTTTTTATTCTGCTGTAGTTCATTCATCCACTGACCCTTTTTATTGCCATTTGCTAATATTAACGATAAATAGAAATAATATGTAGCTGCTACTGATTATTAATTGTAGGAAAATGGACTGAACATTTACAGTCCTATGGTTGCAATGACATACAGAACTGAGTTCATTCTGAAAACTGTAAATCTTTTGAAACCATGCTATAGACAACAGGTTGGACTCACATGTACTCAGCTGGAAACTGTGATCTTATATTTGTTTGACTTTTTTTTTTTTAAATGCTTAGTTTTTTTTCAATGTTGCTGTATATTTCCTGTCAAGTCCATAAAAAGCAAAATGGGTGATTAGAACTATAGAATAAAGAGCATACGGATGTTGTGTGTTAAATATAGTTTTGAATAAAATGGAGAGTGGCGATGCATTGCATGGAAATTTTTGTTTTGCTGATGATAGATGAGTAGTTTTCAACAAACTCTGCTATGAGATTGGAGAATTAGCCTAATAAATATAATGAGGGATATAATTAATATATTTAAATATATTTATTACAAAGGCCAAGACAAACGTATACTTATACCTACGTAAACATATGCCTATACCTATAATTCACACCATTAAAAAAAAAATACATTTCTTACCTGGTGGATCATTCTAAGTGGACTTATGCTCCCATCTAGTGGCCGATGATTTTCTTCAGGCAAACAAAAGCACTACACTCAAACAAAGTTAATGTACATATTTGAGTTAAATGTCCAATTACACAAATGCTTGTTTTCTGTATCTATTTCAAAACCCAGCTTTATAAGAATATATTGAGGATACATTTCTTACCTGGTGGATCATTCTAAGTGGACTTATGCTCCCATCTAGTGGCCGATGATTTTCTTCAGGCAAACAAAAGCACTACACTCAAACAAAGTTAATGCACATATTTGAGTTAAATGTCCAATTACACAAATGCTTGTTTTCTGTATCTATTTCAAAACCCAGCTTTATAAGAATATATTGAGGATTCTGTCCTCAAGATTGAAAATCCAATATAAATGCATACATTTATCCTAATTGTTGGCCAGTGGCTTTCCATTTTTTGTGCATTTCTTTTTTTTTTTTTTTTTACAGTTTTGCTGTTCAAAAATCGTTTTACTGTTTTATTGTGCCACAAAGCATGTAAATGTTATTTAGTTGCAGGTTCCATATTGACAGTTTGTCCCATTCGGTATGACAGTATGTCTTGACGTCGGGGTATGTTGTCACAAAAGGTCAGTAGGTGTTCAATGAAATGCATCGTTTTTCCGGGTGCAAATGTTTAATAGTTAAGAACTTAAAGTATGTGCCTATACCGAAGTTACAGAAGTCACATTTACTGGTTTAAGAAGTGTGACAACTATCCCCTACTACTAACATAACGGCATTTTTAGTGTAGTACCGTGAGAGAGCGCAGTTGAGCTGACACCCAGATGCGTATAGTATATGAACAAAAACATTGGTTCAATATTATTGTTAATAAAAAAAAAACATTATTATTTTAATCAATTATTTTAAGTCAACCAATTTTTTGATAGTAACTTTAAAAGCCAACGCAAGACACCACAGGTGCATAGGGTTAAAAAAATGACTAGTTATCACCATACATCCCCAGTCGAACAACTGCAGTACAGTACATTAATAAATTCAATTTTGCACAATTTTGCAAAAATGTACTTACGCCCAGGTTAATTTTTAATTTAAAAAATAATCAAATTATGTTTATATAAATCAGGAGAGTGATATGTGAACAAACTGATAATGCATGAAAAATGCAAATTGCATGAAAAAAGGTATTGTATTTATTGTATTGTAATCGAAATCTACAGACGCAAACAAATCGAATGTAATCAATTAAACACTTTTAAGTGTATTTTGGATGTTTTCTTTCCGCTGGTCTGATTATTATGAAAGCAAAAGATCACAAAACCCCAAAACTGACTGCGTTCAAAAACAATGGTTTTAATTTTCTAATAAGCCTTCACGGTATTTATACACATTTAATGAATACTAGAAAGCAAACGCGTGAATGAGGAGAAAAGAAGAGAGGAGGGAGAATGATAGAGGAGAGGATGGGAAGCGGCGGATGGAAGAAGGCGGGAAGGGGAGGAGAGCAGGCAGCGGAAGTCGGCGGGTCGCTGCTGGTTGGTTCGGCGCCGGTGGAGGGAGTCATTCCTGCAGCAGTGCTTCCGGTCGGCATTTTGTTCTGCGAGAGAGAGAGGGAGTCTGTGTGGATTCTTTTATGAGCGCCCAGGAACCTTTCGGCACCGAATCGTTTTCTGCCATCGTCCGGAGTAAAGTGCGAGCTTCCGCGGACGCCTACGAGAGGAATGACCGCCTCCAGTCCGTCTTCATGTTCGCAGTGAGAGGAAGCGGTGCGACCCGGATTATTGTTGTGAGAGGGACACAGCGAGCCCGAACCCCCCACCTTCACCTTTCAACAACAGAGCCTCAGGTAAATGCGCCGGGCCCGTTTCGCTGGTTCCGAGCGGGAAAGCACAGTAGCCCGTTCTCGGGGTGGGACTGCTTCGGACTTTCTGAAAGGTTATCGGTGTTGTGCAGCCCTCGCTTCGCGTTAGCATACGCGTTAGCTCGGTGCGGGCCCGCAGGCGAATCCGCGGTTCGGATGGTTCGCGAACGAAAGGCCAAAACGGGCCGTTTAAACGGACTCAGCCGGTCCGGGGGGGTTCATCTGGAGATGCAGGTGTGCAGCTGAACCTGAAGCCCGGAGATAAGAGTCATACAGGCCTGCAGCTCCGCAGACCAGAGTAAACAATACTGTCCTATCATAGTAAACCTCATTCACCTTCCATCAGAGTAAACAATGCTGTGATTTTAGAGTAAAACCGTTTCCAGCATCTGTCAGAGTACACAAAATCATATCAGAACAACCCATATGAGCTAGAAATCAGAATGAACAATACTCTCATATTCGAACAAAACTTAATAGCCATTAGAGTATAAACAATGGTCATTTTAAGCAGTTCTCACTAGCCGTTTGTGAGAATAAACTCAAACTCCTCTTATTTACCATTTAGCTCAGTAAACAATATCATAACCATCTAGATTAGATAGTAAACCTGATTAACTATTCATCAGAATAAACAATACTCCCTTCCTAAAGCTGAATTTACTAGACATCAGAATAGTTTTATTAATGAGATCCACAATATCTAATTATAGCAAACCTTTGAGAATCTGTCAAAATAAAGAGCAAACAATACACTCTTGTACTGAATAATGCTGGCATCCAAAAATGCATAACTATTATTCATAAGGGTTTTACCTGCTGCTCAGTATAATTTTCATTTACTAAGGCGAATATGAAATTAGATTTGGTGCTTGTTTACCGTTAATTATCTTTGAATATTAAGGTTTGTTAAAGCATATATGAAATGATTGAAGCCATAGTGAGATTAGTAATATCATGCACAAATATTGTAAACATTTATAATGCTCATGTGTTTCTAAAGAACAGAATAAAATGATAAGTCTTTTATAAACCAAAACCTTCAATAACTCAATATCTAAACAGTTATTGTTATAGAAAATAATTGTGTTTTATATATTTGAAAACAAAATTGAGGCTTTATTTAAAAAAAAAAAAGCAGTTTGAGTTTGAAAGAGTCCTTATGACTGCTAAGATTGAATGAATGAATGAAATGCTGCTAGGAGTCAGTTAGCTTTAGCAGTTGATATCCAAAACGTGCACAAATCAAAAACCAAAAGTAAATTTAAAGTTCTGTGTTAGTTGACAAGATTCAGGCTTCATAACAGTAGATTCCGAGAAGGGATTACAGTTGAAATCGCTCACGTTTGTGACAAGACTGTCAGATTTGTTGGTTTAAATTGCTGTGGTGTTTTACTGGAGCAGCTGGTGCTGCAGAAACATTGAGCTGTGGCTGTAATCTGGGAGTGAGATTTCACATAGGAGACCTATATTTATATATTTACCTTCAATAAATTAACAGACATGATGAAGCTTGTCCTGGGATGAACTTTAAATGACTTGCCAGTTCAACATAATTTGATGCTTTTGCAGTACATTTGTTCCTGTTGTCTTTCATTTTTACTTGGATAAATGTTTGTGTAATAACAAGTAGCTGTATTCACAGTAGCACTTTTCCTGGTTTTGTTTCAATATTACACTGTTGTCTAGTCAGTCAATAAGGCACCATGATGAGTCACCCAAGCTAGATAGATAGATAGATAGATATTGAAATGGAGAGAGAGAGAACTGGTCAGGATCTGTTTGTTTGGGAATATCAATCAAGTTTGAGCTATACTGGTTTATATGTGTAGTCCAAAGACTGTGTGGATGAAAGCTCTGTCTACTCATGCACATCTATAATTGTGTTGCACAATGTATAGTCCTTTTTTATTGTTGTGTAATTATGGCCTAAATATTATGTTATTGTGTCCATCAATTATAGATTACCGCCTGCCAGAACCACCTGTAGAATTAGTGGATTATTCTGCAAATTCTTAGTCGTACTGTTTATATAAAATTGTACTTGATGTTCTTGAATGCTAAAGGTCCATTCAAAAAATTAACTAGAAGTGTGTATTCTCCAAATCAGTCTCTAAATGTAAATAACAATATTCATTCTTTTTTTTTGTGCATAATAATAATAATTACAATTGCATATTGCATAATACTACTATTACTATTAATAAAAAATGTAATGTGCATAATATAAAAATGACTGAGTGTATTACTAAATGATATTAATTGATAATTGTTATTAATATTGTTAATTATAATAATAATCATTATTTTGTTAATAATAAAATGTTTGCAATGTATATGTCTAAAACATTGTTTCTATTAATAATAGTAATATTAATAATAATAAAATAGCCCTGAATATTGCTTTTTAAACAATTAAAAAATAATCAGTAATGGTTTTAAAAAAAAAAAACAATAACAATATTGGTCAATTTCTGTTCTTGTTTACATAGGCCATTACCATAAAAAGAAAATACAATTCATCTCAAGTAATTTTTTCTTTTTAGTTGTGTTTTCTGAATGTTTCCTCCATTCCACTGCTTCCAGTTGCTCTCGTAGCAGTGAAACGTGGGGCATCCACAGGCAGCTGCTCATCTTTTATGTTTTGGAATTGATGTTGGAGTCTCACTGAGACTCTGGTGGTTTGCTAGAGGAAACGATTGGCTCTTGAGCAGCTGAATGCAGCTGAAGCCAAACTCTAGGTTTTTCCAAATGTGTTGCAACCGTCTGGGGAAGACCTTCCTGTTTCAACAGGACCGTGTCTCCTGCAGCCTGTCCCACTGCCTGATGGGAAACCCTCCTAGAGGAGTGCAGGCAGTTTTAGAAGCATGGGGGGAGGGGCAACTACAAAATAAAGCCCATTTGATGAGCAGATGCGCATGTAGTTTTGGCCTTGCTTGGTGCCTCTTTTGTTCTGTGCATAATGCATATGGTAAGTTTAAAATTAAGGTTTTGGCTTTTATGTATATGGCTCCATTTGTTTTCTTTTATAGATAGTTACCTTCTTTGGTGTTTCTATGTTTTACATTCCAGATTTCCAGATGTCAGTGCTAGCAATCAGTGTCATGTTTATTAAAACACTGGGTTATTTTGAATCTAGTAGTAATGTTATAAGGAAAACCTGGTGTTTGCAAAGTTATCATCTCTATTATGGAGGCAAAACTAGTTGTGAAAAAATATAGGCTTTTTTCGATTCGAAAGTCTGTGGTTGGTAAGATGTTTTAAAAGCAGTCTTATATGTACAAAGGCTGCATATATTTGGTCAATAATATAGCACAAACAGTAATATTATTAAATATTATTACAGTTTAAAATGACTTTTATATATTAATATATTAAAAAAATTATTCCTGTGATGGCAAAGCTGAATTTTCAGCATCATTACTCCAGTCTTCAGTGTCACATGATCCTTCAGAAATCATTCTAATATGTTGATTTGCTGCTCAAGAAACATTTCTTATTATTATCAATGTTGAAAAGATTTGTATTGCTTAGTATATTTGTGGAAACCTTTTTTTCAGGATTCTTTGATGAATGGAAAGTTCAAAAGGACAGCATTTAAAATATAAATCTTTTGTAAGATTGCCACTTTTGATCAAATTAATGCATCCTTGTTGAATAAAAGTATAAAGGATTTTTTTTGAATGGTAGTATACAAAATAAAAATGAAACTAAATCTTGTCATTTTAGTCAATGCAAACACAATAAAAACCTCTTTATGAAATATTAAACTAAACTGACAAGATGAAGTAAATGAAAACTAGTGTCATCAGAACTGTAATAACTTGATTTGTACTGTTCTCTGGTTTCCTAGCATCATAGCACTTGTGTTCCTAAAAGTATTTTAATTGCAATATGGTGCTATTTTATGCATATGTCAGAAAATAAAGTTCTCATCATAATACTGAACCTGATGATAATGTCATCCTGTCCTCTTCTTCCTCTTGCAGCGAAAGATGTAAAGGTGGATCAGTGAGCAGCGACACTGAGCGACCTGTGCATCCACGCGAGCTCCCTGCCCTTCTTCAGCATGAATGGGGATATGCCTCATGTTCCTATCACCACTCTCGCTGGGATCGCAAGCCTCACTGACCGTAAGTTGCACAAACGCTTGCTACCTGAACTTGTATAACAAACCTCCCTTAACAAATTATTTATGCACATTGTATCTCTTAAACACATTTGGAAATGTAAAGTAAATTTAAAATTGATCATTATCAGATAGTAGGAGTGCCATCAAGAGTTAGTAATCTTCTGCTCATCATTTGACTTGAACATAGTGGCCACCATAAGAGGGAGACCTCCCTTATGCATGATAAAGTGTCTTTTTGTCATACACAGATAAACACATTTATCGAAAGTGCTGTTGATTTCTCTTTGGGTGTTAAAATGAGTTGGTGTACCTTCAAAATCAGTGTAAATATTCATCCAGACGATATATACTGATGAATGCTTTTTTTTGTTTGGCTATCGAAGATGTTGATTAAATGTTTGTTCATACCTTTTAAATCGATAGGACTTGGACTTGATTTGTACGGGCAATCATTTTCTTTGTGACTGGATCGAAACGGGAAGTCTCGAAGAAATGAGTGAAATATTTCATGCCTCCTGTTGTGATAAGGAATAACTCATTTTTTGTGTATTTATTTCTCAGTGTTAAATCAGCTGCCTCTCCCTTCCCCTCTACCTGCCACCACCACTAAGAGCCTGCTATATAATGGGAGGATCGCTGAGGAGGTCAGCTGTCTGCTGTCCCGGCGGGATGACACTCTTGTGTCCCAGCTGGCCCACAGCCTCAACCAGGTGTCCACCGAGCACATGTGGGTATCTCACCTCGGCCTTCTTCCTTCAGTGCATCCTCACCAAATGTGGTTATTTTACATGATATGTGAAATATCTGTGCGTCTCATTCAGTCTTTGTGGTTTTACATGCAGAGAGCTGAAGGACAACTTGGGCAGTGATGACCCAGAAGGAGATGTGCCTCTACTGCTACAGACGGTGCTGTCCAGGAACCCCAATGTCTTCAGGGAGAAAAGTACGCCCACCCGATACGGGGTTCAGGGCGGTAAGGAGAAACTGCAGAAATAAAGCTGTTTAGTCTGGGCATGCTTTTATTCTGTGATCTCTGTTTAAGCTTCCTGAATTAGAAATCCCATTTTTTGTAGCTTCCAGACTGTAGTGTTAATTAGTGGTAACTTTAATTATAATTTTAGCTGTATGAAATCCAAATGCCTTTGAAACTGCCGTAATGTAATCTTTTTACATTTTGACTATGGGCTTGCACTACTGTTCAAAAGTTGGGGATCAGCAATAATTTTTTTTCTGAATAAAGTCTCTTATGCTAAAACACATAGTAAAAATGGTAATATTATGAAATAATATTTGATATATATTAAAAAGTTATTTTTTTCCTGTTATGGCAAAGCTGAATTATCAGTTGCCTTTAGTCCAGTCTTCAGTGTCACATGATCCTTCAGAAATCATTGTAATATGCTGATTTGGTGCACAAATAACTTTTCTTATTATTACGGTTGAAAACAGTTGTTCTGCTAAATAAATATAAAGTCCAAAAGAAAGGAAAGGAAAGGACGTGTGGCAAAGTATGGTGTCCCATGCTTGGAATTTGTGCTCTGCATTTAACCCATCCAAGTGCATACACACAGCAGTGAGTAGTGAAACACACACATACCCGGAGCAGTGGGCAGCCAATGCTGCGTCGCCCGGGGAGCAGTTGGGGGTTCGGTGCCTTGCTCAAGGGTCTCACCTCAGTTGTGGTATTGAGGGTGGAGAGAGTGCTGGATATTCACTCCCCCCACCTACAATCCCTGCCGGACCTGAGACTCAAACCCGTGACCTTCGGGTGACTATCCATTAGGCCACGACTTTATTTGAAATATAAATTTTTAAGTCTTTACTGTCAGTTTTTATCAATTTAATGCATCCTTGCTGGAAAAAACTTTTAATTAATTAACTAATTAATAAAAAAATGTTACAGACCATAAACTTTTGAACAGTGTTGTATATTTGCAAATATTGTAAGTGTTTGAGTTAAAACTAATCTATTTAGTTGGGAGTTCTAGTCAGACAGCATGGAAAATATGAGCTTGAATTGCCATGTCATTTGCCACTCAAAGTCAACATTTTAAATCATAATTTGTTGACACTCTTTATATTTTGCTTTGAAGGTTTAATGCAACAGCCAATGATACCACCGTACAAGATGCCTCAGAATTCAATGCATGGAAGCCCGGCATCAAACTACCAGCAAACCACTATAACTTCGAGCCCTCCCAGGTACTGTTCCAGTTTCCTTTTTATTTGGGTTACATAGGTAAGTGGCAAACAGCATACCATTTGAATGGCATATGGTGTGATTAAAGTAATTAAAATTTGCTGAAGAACCTGGTTCCATTTCCAGTCTGTATACTGACCGGTTCTGCTCTTATTCGACAGCCGATATGTTCAACCTCAGGCGGGCTCTGGTACCAGGTACATGCCCCAGCAGAACAGCCCAGTGCCCAGCCCGTATGCGCCACAGAGCCCCGCAGACTACATGCATTACAGCTACCCTCAGCACCAACAGATCCAGCAAGGTGAGTCCCTGCTCTCCTCTCTGAAGAGAACCTCAAGAGGATTGTCACCGTTTTCAGTATCTGTAGTCTTAAAACACCTCAAGGCTCAAGGAAAAGTGGATTTAATAAGGTTGGTTCTTAGTGAATCTTCTTTTATCCATGTCCCTTGCTGAATGATATGACTGAAAACCTGAAAACCATGTTAAAATCAAAAACTGAAACGTGTATTTCATTTTTTAATGCAAAGTTCTTGTTGTGAAAAATTAGTCAATTAGTCATTTTCCAAATAAAAATAAGTCAGTGAATACGTTTTTTTTTTGTGTGTTGCAGTATCTGTATCCAGTCCGATAGTTCCTAGTGGCATGAGGAACATCCATGACAACAAGGTCTCCTGTCAAGTGTCGGGTAACTCCAACCATAATGCGAGGCTTTGCTCCAACGATGAGTACATCAGCATCGTCCAGAGACTTGGAAATGATGTGAGTGCTTGCCAACAAAAGTTTTTTTTAACCCTACATATATTTCTGCCTCTAGATTATTTTTCTTAATTCGATTGGGCCTAGATCTGTATTAACAGCACATTTTTCAACCCATGTTGTCTGTGTTTTCACAGGAGAGTGACCCCGCTATGAGAAATGCCTCTTTTCCTGTACGTTCCGTCTGCTCCCCTGCAGGAAGTGAAGGAACTCCGAAAGGTAGATTGAATCTCAATTTTTGTACCTATACCATTTTTAGATGTGGTATGCTTTTAGGCCCGTATTTACACCCCCACTGGTCTTTTTCAAATTGTACTTTGGGTATGTTTGTGGCATCAACTTAAGTACCACAATCTTTACTACTGGCAGTTGTGTACCTCTGTAAGTTTGAGATAATGCCATATTCACAACAAACACCCTTTACATATATGCTTGTACGTATAGTATGTATGTATTGTATCGTGTGCTTGTTGTTCTCCCAAGGAAATATATTCGGAGACAAGCAGCTATGAGAAACTAATACTCTCCTATTGTTAAGATGTGATATAAGGAGTACTGTTTCTGGGTCCAAGCCTCTACTTTTTTCATTTGAGAATATTATTTCAACAGACATTTAATTCACGAAAGATAAATTCATGAAAGATGAATCACTATCTGGTTAAGTGTAATTTCTGTATGGAGATAAAAGTTAGGACCGTTATTTATATAGGGTGACTATATATTATGACCTTATGTAGCTTGCTTGTGGCATCTTATAAAGTGTTTGGACTCACAAGGTCAGACTTAACATATGGATATGGAGGGTAACGTGAATGTGCAACGATGCAGAGATTAAACCAACCAAACTCTGACAAACTGGTTCATTTTGTTGCCATATTGCTGATTTACACAAAAGTGTAATTTTTCTATTTTATGTTGGTTACATTTCAGTTGGATCTCGGCCGCCCTTGATTCTTCAGTCTCCTCCACCCTACACCTCCCCAAGAGATGCTGCTCCTGACCTCCTGTTGGACTCTCCCGAACGGAAAAAGAAGCAGAAAAAGTTAATGAAAGATGAGGGGGGTAAAGGTGCATTGTATGACATTGTCAGCTCACCCACTAAAGACTCCACAAAGCTAACAATAAAGTTGTCTCGAGTGAAGTCTTCTGAGACTGAGCAGTCAGCTGAACCGTTGTCGGCGGTAGAGCATGGCTCAGATGCTGAGAATGAACTATCGTGCAATAGCTTACCATAAGATGGTTCTGAATCCACTGGGGTCTTGCGGCTTAAATCAAAGACAGATGGAGAGGTGCAGAAGACTGTAGATGGTCGTCCAGAAGTCATCAAGCAACGGGTGGAGACTATGCCACAGAAAACCGCTTCAGATGGACGACCAGAAACTCCCAAACACAAGCACGAGAACCGCCGGGAGATCTCCAACAAAGTTAGTTCGGAAAAGAAATCGGATCCCTCCAAGCACAGACATGACGGTAAACCTGACAAAGTGAGGCCTGAGGGAAAATGTCATGAAACTCCCAGAAAACAGGAAGGACGGTCGGAGTCGACTCGAGAGAGCAAAGGGGAGAGGCAAAAAGATCGGGAAAATGAAGGCTCTAAAGTCCGACGACCAGACACATCTAAGTCCAGCCGGGTAGAGCACAACAGGGATGTAGATCGGGACCAGGAACGGGAAAAAGAAGGGGAAAATCGGGACAAGGAGCGAGAGAAAGATCGAGACAAGGTGCGGGACAAGGAGCAGGAGAAAGATCAGGACAAGCTGCGGGAGAAAGATCGGGACAAGCTGCGGGAGAAAGATAGGGACAAGGTGCGAGAAAAAGATCGGGACAAAGACCGAGAGAAAGACAGAGACAAGGAGCGTGTTAAAACTCGGGACAAGGAGCGGGTAAAAGATCGGGACAAGGAGCGGGTAAAAGATCGGTACAGGGAACGAGAAAAAGATCAGGACAAGGAACGGGAGAGGGTCCGGGACAAAGATCGGGATCGAGACCAAGAAAAGAAACGACACACAGAATCAACAGAGGCCCGGGACAAGCGGTCTCCTGAGCAGCGCTCCCGTCCTGACAGTCCACGGGTGAAGCAGGAACCTCGTAGTGGAGCAGAATCCCGAACAAAACCTGAACGGTCAGTCCACAAAACTAACAAAGACGAGAAACGGAGTGGAGACAAGAACCGACTCGATGGACACAGGCCTCCGTCCTCGGACAGTAAAACAGTAGAATTTCCCAACTACCTACTGGGGGGCAAATCAAGTGCATTAAAGAACTTTGTCATTCCCAAGTTGAAACGGGACAAAGATGGTAACGTGATGCAAGAAATGCGACGAGAGCTGTTTTCCGAGCCACTTGTGAAATTAGAAAAACTGGACCTGGTGGAGGACCTCAATAAGGGCGCCAAACCTGTTGTTGTTCTGAAGAAACTTTCCATTGATGAGGTCCAGAAATTGATCAGTAATTCGCGCAGCAAGTCAAGCAAGAGCAAGTTGTCTTATGGAAAATTTGGAGGTAAGTCCCCTGTTTTCATGACCAGTGAGTTTTTTTTTAGTTCATTGTACACAGATTTGACAGACTGTCTGAATATGCATTTGAAGAGTTTGAGTAGCCCTCTCTGTTGGGTGCTTCAAGGATTCAGTGTTAACGGAACTTCCTCATCATGTGCTGACAGAGATGGATTCCCGCGCACCACTGTGTGAGAGGGTGAAAATGAATAAACGCAGACGCAGCTCCACTAATGACAAGCCCAAGTATGCTGAAGTCAGCTCAGATGATGACAGTAGCTCTGTAGAACGTAAGTAAATATACTGAATCTAATGTTGTTTTCACACTTAATGTGCCTGCTTGATCCGAATCAGGTTTTTACTATCAATCTTATTTAAAAAAATGAAATGGAAAGCAATGCTTTGGTTTAGTTTGTGTTACTAATAAACTATTGGCGAAATATTTCTACTAGGGCTGGTAATTTAACGTTAATTATGGTGAAAAATAACGTGTTAAAATTATTAGCGCATTTAACGCACTTGCCCCGACCCAGACCTATGTGGGTCATCTGACATTTCATACAGTTGATTGATGACAAATATGAGGCAGGGCAACAACTCACTGAGTGCATTAAAGAACTTCGTCATTCCCAAGTTGAAACGGGACAAAGATGGTAACGTGATGCAAGAAATGCGACGAGAGCTGTTTTCCGAGCCACTTGTGAAATTAGAAAAACTGGACCTGGTGGAGGACCTCAATAAGGGCGCCAAACCTGTTGTTGTTCTGAAGAAACTTTCCATTGATGAGGTCCAGAAATTGATCAGTAATTCGCGCAGCAAGTCAAGCAAGAGCAAGTTGTCTTATGGAAAATTTGGAGGTAAGTCCCCTGTTTTCATGACCAGTGAGTTTTTTTTTAGTTCATTGTACACAGATTTGACAGACTGTCTGAATATGCATTTGAAGAGTTTGAGTAGCCCTCTCTGTTGGGTGCTTCAAGGATTCAGTGTTAACGGAACTTCCTCATCATGTGCTGACAGAGATGGATTCCCGTGCACCACTGTGTGAGAGGGTGAAAATGAATAAACGCAGACGCAGCTCCACTAATGACAAGCCCAAGTATGCTGAAGTCAGCTCAGATGATGACAGTAGCTCTGTAGAACGTAAGTAAATATACTGAATCTAATGTTGTTTTCACACTTAATGTGCCTGCTTGATCCGAATCAGGTTTTTACTATCAATCTTATTTCAAAAAATGAAATGGAATGCAATGCTTTGGTTTAGTTTAGTTTGTGAAATATTTCTACTAGGGCTGGTAATTTAACGTTAATTATGGTGAAAAATAACATGTTAAAATTATTAGCGCATTTAACGCACTTGCCCCGACCCAGACCTATGTGGGTCATCTGACATTTCATACAGTTGATTGATGACAAATATGAGGCAGGGCAACAACTCACTGTGTGATGGAGCCTAGAGAACGTAGTTAGAATGTCCCTAAAATTCAAGATATGGGGCAAAAATGCCCCTGTTTGAGATTTTGTCTCATATTTACATCATATAGTTAAGCAATATCACACGAGCAATAGGCTAAGTGCAATATCACACGAGTGCAAATGTGATACTGATCTTATACAATAGTTCAGCAAGTAAGAAGTTAATATTGTGTTATTTTAGACACAATGTTGTCTGTTTTGTAGGGGTGGACCAGAATATTCGAATATTCGTTCAGTGGGTTGGCATTCGATTTTCAATTTTGAGATTTTATCTTTTTTCGAACACCTGGCATCCCCCGCGAAACGGTTCTCATTCGCGCTCGAATATGAATCGTCCATTAGTGAACGTCATGAACATCATGATTAATTTCATCTGGTAGAGAAAACAAAAATGCAGAAGACCTCAGCTGTGTGGGAGCACTTTAAATTGAGTGAGGACAAGACAAAGGCAGTTTGCCAAATATGCGATTTGAAACTGGCCTACCACAACAACACATCAAGTTTGAAAAATCTGTTCTGTAGAGTTAGTAAGTATTTCTGTAACTAGTACGCCTATAGTATATTGTTGGTGTAAAAAAAACTAGCTGCTTTTATCCGTCATGTTAATCAGTAATTTTACACATGATAAAAACGTGCACTTAATTTGCTTGGAAAATACTTGCGAATACGGCAGTCATAAAAAAACGTATAGTAGCCCAGCTTAATAATAATTTGTCTATATTAAAAGTATTGCTCTTGACAGACCTGTGTGTTTTGTATATAACTAGTGCAGTGTCCGTTCTCGGAGCATATAAGCCCTGCCCGCGGCTGTTCTGTAGTTTATTAAAAGTTTATTAATTCTGAACGTGTCGCGTGTCCATATTGCACCAAAATGCAACACTGCACTCCCTTGGGTCCGCAGCAACACACCCGCCACGCGTGAAGTCTATTGGATGAACAGTTCTTGACATAATAAAAATGCAAACAAACAGACAGACACACACAGATTCCTGCCTTTATTACACCGTGTCTACACCGGACGCAACAGTTGTTGTGTCGCGCCGTGCCGCAACAGCTAAAGTCTGTCTGCACTGGACGCGACAAAGCGACCATTGAAAATCATTTGAAATTTGTGTTAGTACGTCATAAATAGAACGCAGCAGCAGTTTACTGTCGGGAATTTGTCACGCCGCATCCAGTGTAGACAATAATAGGTTCTATTAGAGCCCTGCATTTCAGCCCGGGCCCGATGAGCCCTGACTTTTTTATGCTCCTCGGGCCGGGCTTCGGGCCAATTTTCACGTCATAGTTCAGACGCGGGCCAATAGGCTTGTTTGAGATGCGCCTCGCCTCGCCTGAAATGTAGGCGAAAGCAGGCGGCTGCAGTGAGGGGAGGAGTGAAATAAGCGCAGTCAAGACAGTTCTGACCTCTCGAAGTGGAACAGATACCAACGAGATCAAAGGCAGATATTGCGTTATTCTCACTTATATGCTGTGTTGCTAATAAACATGATATAATTTCAGTTCTGTTGCTTTTATATGAAAATAAATATGATGAACAAGACACTCAAAGTGCTTGCTATTTAATTCCATACGAAAGGTGTATTTATCATCCATTTTTACTTTAATACAAACATGTATTTTAGATTTTTATAGAAATATTACAACAATCACATATCTCACACAGAGATCGCACTGTCATCGTGTTTGGGAATAATATTCATGCATAATTTAAATACATAATCACATGGAACCAGATAAAAAAATAAAACATTTTGGAAGAGAACGCAGCATCACAGTTGTCTGAACCAATGAGCATTAAGCTGTGTCGTCAGTCAGTCGTTTCCCATCATGCTTTTGATCAGCGCAGTCGGTGGAGGGCAACTGCGCTCGACTGCACAATCCGACACAGCCGCCTCGCCGTCGCGAGAGTTTTTTGGCACACGTCAGCATGACATCAGAGCAAGTCGGACGTAACTCGGACACTTTTCTAACCGGCATGCATCTCGCAGTGATCACCAGTGATCGGTTCTGCACAGATTTGGCTCCTCTCAAACAAGCCTATTTACTTCACTCCTGAAAGAATCAGCCATTTGAACGAATCAAATGAACAAATAAATGACTCGATGACTTAATCTTTAAGACATTTACCACCACCTACTGGCAGTTTTAGTTTATTATTTAGAGTATCATTTCATTAAAGAAATAATTTCATATTTCCATAGTAATAATAATAAAATAAATTATTAAACTTATAGTTCACCCACCCATAAATGACAATTGTGTCATCATTTACTCACCCTCACGGTCCAAAAGAGTATATGTAATAAATGTTATCAAACTAAATGTCTTGCTGAAGCTACATTTTGTAATGTCTGTATGATGCTTTACACAAAAATGACTTTAAATGATCTTTGGGAAGTAATTTCTCAGCCAAATTTGATGTGC